GAAGGAAGGATAAATGTGATCTGTGAGAAAACAAGGTGCTCACTACTATCTCTGGCCGTTCCCCCACGGGAGGCCCGGACACCACCCGTGTATAACTCCACACCCTGGTGGAGGTCACAAGTTAAAATCCCAGCCCACCTAACATGACCTGCGTATACGAGTTACCTAATGTGTCATATGTAACAATAGGGCAACATGTTCGTTGGGAAGGATCAAGTCGTTTGCTGCATAAAAATCGAACCACCTGGACTTTATGCCATTCATGTTGCTTAAGAGCTAAAAGTAAAGCCATTGCTCTACTGCAATTAAGTAACCGTACTATTGCCCTAAAATGGCCAAATTTCCTCTGAGACTATGCCTGTCAACTTTACGATACCCACTTCCTAGGTATCAGATGTAGACATGCCACGGTTAGAAAACTAAAATGAAGTAAAAAATAAGCTGCAAAGCCTTAAGGCAAAGGCTTGACAAGACACTCATTTGGCTCTCCTTGCTCGAGAAGGTGGATGAATCATCAGTCTGACTGTCAACGTGCCCGAGCCTTGTAAATGGTATGATAGCTGTTGCCTGGATCGGTGGGCCCGTGGACCTCGAAGAGCCCAAGAACTGCATCCCAGGGTTCTTCACGGTACCCTTTGGACAGTGCTGTTCGGGAACGCCTGACTTCACTGAACTTTGAGGAAAAGAAGCTTGCTGTGTATCAGGAGGTATTGGCAGACAAAACCCTCTCCCCTCCCAGCCTTCACTTCCCCAGGCTGGCCAAGCCCAGCTCTCTTCTCACACAACAACCTCCCCACCTGGGCAGCCCCTGGCTGCAACTGCTCCAGCGTGAGTGCATCTTCCTTGCACACGGGGGACCACAACTGGACACCCCAGTGCAGATGGGGTCTCCCCAGGGCCTGGGCAATGGCACTGCTCCATCCCCATGTCCATGGGAAATACTCCTCCTGGTGCAGGTATCTTTGCCAGGGCTGCATCGCGCTGGAATATCTCATCAGCGTCCTCTCATCGCCTGCACACACAGCTCTGCTTTCTGTTGTGTTTGCCAAGCTGATAACCCTTCTTCAAGACTATTGTTTTGTTACTAGGCCCCACATGAAAAACCTTTTGGTTTTTAATGGTACAGACTCCAGTCATTCCTCCAGTAGTGTCCTGATATGTCTCTGTATGCATTTCCCCACAGCACTCCCCACTTCTTGTACAAAGGTCCATAATAAAACTAGTGAACAAGGCCGGTGCCAAGGGGAACTCCACTAGCAGCCACCTGCACCCTGACACCTCCCTGCCAGCTTTGCACTTTGCCACCTCTCCTCTAGACAGCTCTACCCTGGGTTATTCTGACATCAACAACCGTTACAGGGTAAACCAGGACTTATAGGAAAGGACCTCTGTTTCCAGGTTGGTCATTCATTTTGGGGGGTCTCCTTTTATCCTGAATAAGAACATTTAAAGGAAAGATCAGCAGGACACTTATCTCAGTTCCACGATTGTGAAGTTTTCAACAGAAGCCATTTCAAGATCTACAGTTCTTTAATGAAGACAATTGTAGCAATATCAAACCATACCGGATAAGCTGCTACAATGTACCTTGACTTCTTCCTGCCCCCACAGCGATGTAAGTGTAGCAAAACTATTTCAGCTCTATACCCGTTTCATTCGGGGTTACTGGTACAACAATTTAGCGCGGTTGTATTGATAGAGGAGCCTGCAGATGTCACAATCACCTCCTGGCAGCTCATGCACACTCCCCAGCACCAGCATCCCTCCCCTCCTGAAGCAGTTGGCGGGTCCATCCACGCATATCCTAACACCTTCAGTGAGGAGCACGGTCCCCAGGAGGGGGGAGCCCTGCTGTCTGGTCGGGACCAATAAAGGCATTTTCACAGTTTAGCATGCGGCATGGACAGATGTAACATGTATAGCATTTCAAAGGCCCTTTATAAGTGCTATGAGAGTGACGGGACAGAGGATGCACAAACGACAGCACTCATCTTGGTTAGCTGCATCATGCCAGAGCAAGACTCAACCCGGTTCCTTCTGCCTGGGAAATCTTTCTCCATAATAAAAATCAAAGCATGGCTGCATTTGACTGAGGTTGGCAGTATGGTACTTCTAGAGGCAGATCCCTTGATACCTGCGTGGAAATGAGGCCCAGAAAAATGAAGGCACTTCTCCACGGTTAGGTGGGATGTCTGAGATACAGCAGGGAACTGAGCCTATACCTACTGTGTATAGTCATCAGTCCAGTCCTTGAACAGCCATCCTTCCTTAATGCTTTAAGTACTCCTACTGCAACCACCCCCTTCAAGCCACACAAGAGACTCCTTAAATCACAGTGAAGAAGCTTCATTTCACCAGCAGCAACACGTGCAATGAGTTTCCCCTTTTTAATTTTTGTTGCTATCTGGATAAAAAGCTCCACCTACATTTTCTGGCTCTGTGGGGACAAACAGAGGCGGGAGGTGTCAGAACCTGGACCAGAAGGAACAAGAGGAAATGTTAGCATGGCACACGTGTGCGACTGAAGACCGTCAGTGGATCATGGTTGCTGCGTTACTATTAGGAGAAGACAGAGCCATTATGGCATTGCACACTGGGTGTTTGGAGACCTTTGCATTCGTACCCAAAGCAGACCTCAATGGGCTAGATGTAAGAAAAAAGGAGCAAAATGAGACAGGCGAGAGAAGCCCAAGGAAGTGGCAGGCACCGTGGTCCAGTGGCCTGGGGAGGAGGGCAGGGTCCCGGTCTGGCATCTCACCACCAGTTGAGAGTTAAGTGGCTTATCCCATGCAACTTCCTACATGCATGCCCTGGCCTACAATTTGGGAACACTCTGCCCACTGGTTGTGCCCAGAGACTGTGCAGACAGTCGTGGGCCTAGTGATGATCTTGCTCTGCCTGCAGAAAACCAGAGCCATGGGCTTTGTTCTTGGCCATCTCCCCTGGGGCAGGCAGGAGTGGAAAGAGCAAAGGCCGCTTCAAAGCTGGGGGCACTGAGTGACCTGCTGCTCTGGGAGCGTCCCACGATGGAAGACAAGAAGGGCATGGGGGAGCCAACAAACTTCTGACGTCTTAGAGATGGGGAATTCTGGCTACTGAGCCCGGCAGATAGTTTCATAGGTTCATAGTTGGTCGGGTCAGAAGGGACCTGAGCAGATCATCAAGTCCGACCCCCTGCCATGGCAGGAAAGAGTACTAGGGTCAAACGACCCCAGTGAGGTGTTCGTCTAGCCTCCTCTTAAAGACCCCCAGGGTAGGGGCCAGCACCACTTCCCTTTGGAAGTTGGTTCCAGATCCTTTCCGCCCTGACAGAAGAGTAGCGCCTCCTGATGTCTAGTCTGAATCTACCCTCTGCCAGCTTGTGACCGGTATTCCTAGTCACACTGTCCACATCCCTCCTGAAGTGCGGCGCCCAGAACTGGACGCGGTACTCCAACTGCGGCCTGACCAGTGCTGCATAGAGGGGGAGGATCACCTCCTTGGCCCTGCTTGAGATGCATCTGTGGATGCCCGACAACGTGCGGTTGGCCTTCCTGACCATGTCCCCACACTGTCGGCCCATGTTCATTTAATGACTCCAAGATCCTTTTTTGCCTCTGCGCTGATGAGAAAGGAGTTCTCCAGCCTGTAGGTCTGCTGCTGGTTCTTCCCCCCAGGTGCAGCACCTTGCACTTGTCAGTGTTGAAACCCATCCTGTTCTCATCTGCCCACCCCTGTAACCTGTCTAGGTCCCATTGCAGCCTATTCCTCCTTTCTAGCATGCCCACATCCCCCCACTTCTTAGTGCCATCAGCAAATTTGAACAGGGTGCTTCTTACCCCCACGTCCAAGTCACTGGTGAAGATGTTGAACAGTGCGGGTCCGAGGACCGAGCCCTGGGGGACCCCACTGCCCACATCCCTCCAGGTCAAATAAGACCCGTCCACCACCACTCTCTGGGCGTGGCCCTCCAGCCAGTTAGCGACCCCTCTGACTGTGTAGGGGTCGACACCACAGTCCCCTAGTTTTTTAATGAGAACGAGGTGAGAGACCATGTCAAAGGCCTTCCTGAAGTCTAGAAAGACTACGTCCACTGTGACACCTGCATCCAAGGATTTTGTGACCTGGTCGTAGAAGGCCACCAGGTTGGTCTGACAGGACCTGCCTCGAATGAACCCGTGTTGGTTGCCCCTGAGCATAACCTGCCGGCCCCTGTTGGACATGTGCCAGGATAATTATCTGAAAAAGCTTACCCAGGATCGAGGTAAGACTGACTGGCCTGTAGTTTCCTGGGTCCTTCTTCCTCCCTTTTTTGAAAATGGGAACCACATTGGCCCTTTTCCAGTCCTCTGGCACAACGCCAGAGCACCACGAGTGCTCGTAAAGTCATCCCACGGGTCCCGCAATGACCTCTGCTCATTCCCTCAGCACTCTGGGGTGGAGGTCGTCAGGACCTCTGATTTAAATACATCCAGTCTCTCCAGGAGGTCCCTGACTAGGTCCTCACTGACCCTAAGCTTGGGTGCGCCTCCCCCAGGGCCTGAGGGGGTCCCGGCGGACAGGCTGATCTGGTCCCTGCTCAGGAAAATGGAGGCAAAGAAATCATTAAATAGGTTAGCTTTGTCATCTGGTGCAACAACCAGATTTCCCAGTGTGTCTTGCAGAGGCCCCACATTACCTGGTACCTTCTTTTTGCCCCCTATGTATTTAAAAAAGGACTTCTTGTTCTCCTTGATCCTGGTAGCTAGTCCCAGTCTCATCTCCACCTTGGCCTTCCTGACCACCCCCCTGCAGCCCCGAGCACCCGAGGTGTAGTCTGCCCTGGTGATGGCCCCTCCCTGCCGTTGGGTCTACGCCTCCCTTGAGCTAGGAGACGTTTCCGTATGCTTTTGATGAGCCAGGGGGGCTTTTGCGCCTTCTTGCCCCCTTTGATCCTTGATGCAGCAAAGTGACACAGTGATGAGGGATTTGTGTTTGCTTCCCCTCACTTCCATTAACATCACCGTTGTGTTTTCCTCCAGGTCCCTGGCAGGGGAAATGCCATGGACTCAAAGGATCCTCCTCCTGGCATGTCTTTGGTCCTCAAGCCTGGCTCAAAACCTGGCTCAAAATCTAGCAGGTAACATTGTTCCCATTGGACTTTTTTGCCACCTTTAAATCAGAAAGATGCTTGGTCCCAAGTGTGACGGCTGCTGGAGCAGCAAATTCCAATGCTCTGTGTTCAGAGCTAACACAGGCTGGGGCTGCACACAAGTGTCCAGGGGCAAAGGTAAAATGACATATCCCAGAAACTCAACCAAAGTCTTAGTCCCAGTCAGATAGTAGAAGCTGGGTTGTCTCTTGCCTCCTATCCCTAGAGGCAGTCATGAGGAAGAGGAAGAACAAATGCAGAGCAGGACAAAAGCTAATGGGATAAAACTGCAGCAGAGCAGATTAGATTAAACCCCAGAAAAAAAGCTTCCTAATTGCAAAACCAGTGCAACAACAGAACAGGTTGCCCAGGAGGGAGGTGGGATGTGCTTTGCTGGAGGTTGCAACTGGGACCTCGATGAGCCTTCCTCTGAGGGCCTCTTGCATCTGTGTAGGAGTCAATGAAATGGCCCTGGGGTCTCTTGGCAGCCTAGGGATCTCTGCCTGGTCACTGCTCAGTCCTCCCAGGGGCTGGTGTGTGCCAGGGCCTGGAGGTCTGAATGCTTCTTTGTGGAGCTGGGGGGCTGAGACAACAGCAGCCTTTTCTCTATTCTGTCATTTGGTGTTTGTGTGTCGTCCCCCTGGACACAGGGACAGGCCAGTCTGGCATGTAAACAGCCTGGCCAGAGCCCTGGGGTCTCTTGGCAGCCTAGGGATCTCTGCCTGGTCACTGCTCAGTCCTCCCAGGGGCTGGTGTGTGCCAGGGCCTGGAGGTCTGAATGCTTCTTTGTGGAGCTGGGGGGCTGAGACAACAGCAGCCTTTTCTCTATTCTGTCATCTGGTGTTTGTGTGTCCCCCTGGACACAGGGACAGATGAGTCAAGCATGTGAATAGTCTGGCCAGAGGGTTTTGAGTTGGCTGTTGTGTTTGGCCAGGGCGTGTGTATGTGCACTCGTGTGTGCACACAGCTGGGGTCAGCAGCAGTGAGACTCAGCTCATGCACACTGCACGGGGGCACTGGTGTGCACCATGGGGGAAGCCTAGAGAGCCGGCCGGGGGGCTGGGGCAGCCAGACTAACTGCAGGTCGGTGGGGCTGTGAGCAGGGAAGCCGTCTCTGCGGGTCGGTTCCATGCTGTGCGCAGAAAGGCGAGACATTGTACATGAGCCCTAGTACTCGACCAGCATTGCAGCCCTCCTGGTTCCACCCCTCTCTCTCCCCATTTCCCCGTCCTGTATGTTTATACCGTGTTACCTGGTTGGGGCCGGGCCTGTCCTTCCACATATGGGGGCCCTGGGGGCAGCACAAAGTGGGTCTGACTGGCTGAGCAACACACGCACTAGGAAATCACTCTTGGCTTTATTCCCTCAGGTGTAAGGGGAATAACACGGAGCATGGCGCTGAATGCTGTGGATGACCAGTACTTTGGATGCACTGATGACATGGAACGTGAAGCACCGGCCCTGCTGCAGCAAGAGTTGAAAGGAAATTTCCAATTTAAGGGGCAATGGGAGAACGCATTAAGGAAACGGGAGGAAGTGAATGCAGATCTTGCTATGCCCCAAGACTTCAAAGATCACGGGACAGCAGTAATAGTGTATACCGACAAGGGCTTTCACACGGACTTCATGAATGCAGTGAAGACGAATGGCAAATCTTCATCTTATTACAAAGAAAATTTCAAGTTCAAAGCCATCCATTACTACTTGACAAGAGCTTTACAGCTCCTCGGAGAGAATGCAGAGTGGAGGTACACGGGTGTGGTGTACAGGGGAAGTGAGAACTGGTATCAGTACAACAACTCTGAAATCATCAGGTTTGGGCACTTTGCCTCCACATCTTTAAATAAACGCATTGCTAAGGAATTTGGCAACACCACGTTTTTTACCATCCAAACGTCCTTTGGGGTGAAAATCATGAACCTGTCACTTCAACCCTCTCAAGAAGAAGTGCTAATTCCTGTGAATGAGGAGTTCATTGTGTCCCCAGGAGGGGACGGGAACAACAGCTATGTCCTCAAGAGCACCGGCCGGGCCTGCAGCTATCTTAACTGCGCATACCTGGGGAGTGAGTACTGGGTAGAGTTTAAATGGTGAGGTCTATTAAGAGATTTTCAGCTGGAGAAGAGAGGAAAACAGTTGGGTATCCTAATTAGAGAAAAAACTAAATAAGAGAAACATGAAAAATGATGAATGGAGAAGAGAAGGGAAACTAGACACGTCTCTTTTCCATTTCTCTTAAAGGCATCCAAGAGCAGCAAAGATAACACATAAATAATTATACATAGGAACGCTCTATCGCAAAACACACGGTTTGCTTCTGGGACCCACAGTGCCAGGATCTCATGGAGATTCAGACCTTAGCAGAGTTCAAGACAGATTCCCCCTTTATATACAAATCATGAAAACACCCAGTTATCCCTTATGGGAGAGAAGAATTTCTGTCTAAAAAGAATTCATTTCTTTAGCTCTGAAAGGCAAGGACTTCACGGGGTGATCTCTTTTATTACACCGACTGTATAGTTGGGATAGAGCTAGACACACTTTCAAATGCAAGACATTGTTCTTGACCTGCTGAAGAATATCTTGCACTGGAAAGCTTGTCTAACTCTATCCAGCGGCACAGTTGTTCCAATAAAAGAGTTCATCCCAAGAAATCCTTGCCTCAGGGACAATTTCTGAACCATCAGGGCTACACCATCCCACATACACAACCATACATTTTGGATCTGGAGTCTGAAGCCATCACTACCCCTCAGTGGCATGGAGAGAAACTCCCCCTTCGGCCAGGTCCTTCCAGAAGTGTGCCGGGACGGGGTGGCTTGTGTCTGCTTGTGAAGCGCCTGGGGCTGATATCAGTCAGGGAAAGGAGGCCGGACTAGATGGCAGGCTGTTTAATGGCACTGTGAGAAGGGAGGTGACATCCCTGGCTGGCAGATCACCAGTCACTGCAGCCTCTGACCCAAACCCTCTCTTTCCATTTCAAAGCCCAAGTCTCAGGCTTGTCGTTACACTTCAGGTAGGTGCCTTTCTGCTTTCACAGACCTGAGCCGGCTGCTGGGCACCCCACACAAGCTGCTTATCCACACCTCCCTCCTCTGAGAGCTAGCCCTGTGCTAGCCATGGGTGATGACCCCCATCCGAGCCCCTTCCGTAACCAGCTTCTCCAGCACGTGCCAGATTTGGATCTATTCGACTCCTGATCATTGCTCTTCACTTAACAGGTGTAAAGGAGCCTTTTTACGGTTCTTGGTGTTTTGTTAATCAATCCTTGGCAGTTTTGCTAAAAAACGGACGATGATTCCCCTCCATCCTTAGCCTGTGCCATTGAACGTGGGCAGGATTCGTGTTCAGCCTCAGGGAGGGTTGTCAGTATGAAATGTCTGTGAGGATTTCCCTGACACGCTTTTCTCTGGTTCACAGCTTCGAGCGGAGGCATCACCTTCCACGGCCAGATGAGGCCTTCACTGCTGGGAGGAGCCGTTCTCCTGCTCAATGCTGCCGCTCTCAGGCTGTTTGCTGGAGCCTAAATGTTCAGTCGTCCTTCGCTTTTCATCCCTCAAACAGAGCATTCCCCAGGCACCGGGCTAGTCAGCCATCCAAAGGGACAGGAGAAGAGTAAAAGCATGGTGCTGATACTTCCTTTCACCAGCTTTGATGACATGTTGCTATGAAGGGAATCAAAGGAAAAGACCTTTTGTTCTGAATGCATCTTACCTGACAGGGCATGAGCCGTGGCTGCATGGGTGCTGAATGCACCGTGGGTGCTGTAATCACACATGCAGCTCCGGATGACCTCATTAAAAGATTGCAAAGCTGTGAGAGTCAGATGAGTCGTCTCCTTATGCAGTGATGTGATGGCCCGTGGTCAAGGGCAGCAGTGTTGTGCTGTCCTGGATTTATTCAGTCATTTCATCTCTTTCACACTTTCATGGCAAACATGTCCCAAAGATGAGATGTCTGATGTCAGCTTTGCGTGCTCGTAGGGCACCTTCTGACCCAGGTCCCCAGGTAGGGCTACCCACTGATGACGGGGCTGCGCAGGACTGGGCACTGTCCTCCACTGCATGGCAGTCCTCTTGGCAGGGGAATATTGCTGCCACCACCACCCTTTCCTTGATGAGGTGACCTTGCTTTACCCCTGTCCTGAGAGCCACCAGGCTGGGATGGAATAGGAACAGGCAGGGAGCCAACTCCTCTGAGTTGGGCTATGATGGCCAGATGGTGAGGGTGTCTTTCCCAGGGGGCATCTCTCCCCAGATGCAGGCAGCTCCAACAGACTCTGACACATCTCTACTTTTGGGAGCCCAGTTGTCGTGCACATGATGGAAAACCTTTTGGACCAAGACTGCTCAATCCAAAATGCAGCAATCTCTGTCCAGAAACCTTGGCGCCTTCTCCTCACCCACAGATCTCCCTCTTCTCTGAGTTCTTCTGACCATGACAATCATATAAGGAAAGGGAGTAAGGCACAAAGAAAGGATTGGGCATCCCTGCTCCTTTCCTGGGTCTGCGCCTTGCAGGGCTGGAAGCCCTTCCAGCTGCTGAGCACACCCCAGCAAGTTCAATTAGGAGTGGAGGAGATGTGGATCCATTGTAGGAGCTTTCACTGACTGTAGCCCAGGTGTCCATGTGTTGGGCCAGGCGACTGGGCAGATGGTTGAAAAAAAATTGAAATACAATATAATGGATGTGCACTGTCAGGCATCTAGCGGGACTCATGGCTGCGGTGGCAGCAGGGGATCAATAGACAGGAAAACAGAGGCCAATGAGAGACCTGGCCAAGAAGATGCCATCGAGCTGGTGGCCAGCCCAGCCATGGAAATGTGGGGTGTCCAGCAGTGGTTGCAAACCTTCCTGTCAAGAACTAGAATTGCAAGGAGCCCTTTGGGAGGGGCCTGCCCCGAGCCTCAAGTCAGATTGCAGCCAGAAGGGTTACCGTATTTACCCACATCCAAGATGACTCTGAATTTAAGATGAAACCTTGTCCTGATCTGGCTCTGCTGTTATTTCTCTCTCACCCGTAGCTGAACACATTTACCTTCACCTGCCCAGCATCTCCCTCACACTTGTCTTTGCCTCACCTGTGAGCCGCTCGTCATCTGCTGGCTTTGCACCAGATCCTGATTGCAGATATCCACAAAAATCTGCAGAAGCAGAGGCAGATAGCGCTCACCTCCATGGCCTCGGTTGTGCCCTGCAGTGAACCACACTCGTACCTCTTGGGCTCGACATTCGTTCTCTCTCAGCTTCGTTGCTAGAGCAAGCAAGGAATGTATTGCTCCCCCAACTGGAGTCTAAATACGGGTCAAGCTGCCCCGGATGCACTGGCAGAGGGTAGGCGCTGCCTGCCTGGGCTGCCTGCCTGTGTGGGGGAGTCCTGAACACCCCTCGCCCCTTTTCTTTGCTGTGCCGGGTGTGGCACTACACCCCTGTCCCAGACCCTCCGACCCCAGAAGCAGTTCAGTCTGGTCCACAACGAGTCCCAGGTGAGAGAAGACCCACGATGATGGAGTTGCAATTGAGCTGCGCAGGCCAGGGCTCACACCCCAGGCTCATAAGGGGACCTCCAGGAAATAACAATGGTCACAGGTCGTGACTCAGTTTCCCTGCTCCCTACTGAACTGGCCAGGAGAAACTTCGGTACAGAAACCTGAAGCTGAACTGTATCCTGCCCTCCTCTCCCTCCCTGCCAGCCAGCTGCTGGGTTGGTGTATCGCTGCCAGCTCCCAGCAGAAGAGGTAATCTGCCCGGACTGAGGCCAGTCACCCTTCTTATCTCTGGGGCTGGTAACCCTGGGCAGCTCCTGCCACCTCCCCAGCTGCTTGGTAACTTCATTTTATGCTGGGTGTTGGTCCATGAGGATCCCAGTTCAGGCGCCTGACGTGAGGGATGGGTATGGAGAGGGGATGATGTGATGGGGGTGGCTGGACTCTGATCCCGGTGTCCCTCCCATGCCTGGGCTCTTGTGACATTGCAACCCTCTGGCCAGCTGGGTCTGGCGCCGTCCCTACGGGCTAGCCCCTATGCCTGAGACCATAGAGGCAGAACTGGGTTTCTTACTGCCTTCCTACCTGCTTCCCATGATGCTTTGCCTACAGCAACACACAGTCAAGCAGCTCCTGGTCTGACACGTGCCAAGGGCTCAGCCGGTCCAGGACTCAGCAGGTAACACATAACCAAGAGCCACGGCCGTGCCTTTATCTAAGCCGTGTCCCTGATCAAAGCAGCCCCAAATCCAGTCTTGAAACATCAGCCCTTCAAGTCACACGTGGAATCACTTCCCTCCAGCCAACATTCACCTGCAAATCCCTTCTAGAAAAGACCGAAAACACAAAGGCAGGGGTCCTTCCTTGCACTATGCGTTTGTGTAGATGAAGGTTTCATCCCACGATCTGGAGGCTGAAATGTCCGCCAGGTTGCAACACCATCGCATTGAAACCAGATGGCTCCCGTGGTCTTCGCAGATGTACTGCAGCAACCTGAATTTCAAGTGCCTGAGAGGAACACTAGCTCTAAACCCCCTTCCCCATCCCCTCCCCACCCCACCCATGCATCCAGAGCTCAATCTGCAATTCAGCATGGTGAAACGATTCAAAATATATATAGTCCTGCCCCTTAAAAAGCAATGAAATGTCACAGTTTCCTTATGGACACCTACACAACCAAACACGTGCGGGGAGAGTGAGTAGCAGAGAGGACCCGGGTCTGGCAGTTGCTTTGGGCAGGATTTGGGGGAAGGCACCGGGGAAAACCAAAGCTAGAAGTGCAGAAAGAGCATCAGAGCAGCAGCATGGATTGCCAAAATGAGTCCTCCGAACAGCCCGGGGCTCTGCTTGCTGGCGACCCTGATGCTGCCTCCTGTAATACAAAGACAGGAAACAAATGACTTTCTAGAGTCACTTCATGCTGTCACACACACGCACGTGCCCTCCCCAGCTTCCAGCACGGACCCGGTCATCGCACAATGCTGCCCAGTAACGTGACAGACCATTCGCTCCCCGGGCTTGGCCCTGCCTTACTTCATGGGGGCGAATGGCATCTCAGACCCTCCCCTTGGCGCATTCAGGGCTCCCCACTGACTGTGCCTAGATCTGAGTGACCCTAAAGGTCGCAGCCCCTGGGCCTGACTCTGTAGCTGGCTTTGGAAGAGGGCTCTGGTTTCCCTGTGTGCTGCGGGTCCCTGCTTCAGGTGCTGCCGCATCCGTCCAGCTGAAAGGTCCTAACCAAGGCTCTGTAGTGGTCTGGCTCTCCTGGGCCATTTGCTGCAGGGCTGTTTCACGCAGGTGTGCTCTCAGATGCACGGCTGTCAGCGTGTGCAATTCAGCCCTGGTCCGAACAGCAGCCTAAAGTGCATGCACGCTGCTCAGTGGTCTGCACTGCACAGTTTGCTGTCAGCAGCCTGAGTGCACCCACACATGTGTGAGTGCACACACACACACGGCCTTTAAGGCAATAAACCCCCGGCTTTTTGTCAGGAGAGCAGCCCATGCCGTGCGATGCAGGCCATCTGCCGATCAGCGCTGACAAAGCCTGTACGGGCAGTCCCTTGCTTCTGTCTGCTTCAGCAGTCCTCCAGCCACAATCCCACAATGCTCCTTGTTGTTCTCTTTGCTTGGGGCTTCAAGCTCCCTTCACCACCAAATGACTGGATGATTGATGCCTCTTTAAAATTGCTCAGTGTTATGCAAAACTCTCCAGCCTGCCAGCGCATGTGTGCAAGCAGACCAGCATGGCTTATACTGGCAGGGAGCTGCAGAGGTCACATCTAGTCCATCCCCTGCCTGAGGCAGCACCAGCCCTGTGCAAACCAGCCCAGACAAATCCCTAGTTTAAACTCTTCATAGAACTACTGTCACCTCTGACATGCCGCAGACATCACGCAGGGAAAGCAGGGGGACCACGGCGGCCAACATCCTGCTGCTGCAAAGGTTAATAGATGCACCAGAGATCCAGGCAGAGGCTGTGCCCCCACCATAGAGGAAGGCAAAGCAGTCTGACCGGGGAAGAAAATTCCTTCCTGGCCCCAAATGCAGCATTGGTCTGACCGTGAGCGGAGGGGCAAGCCCCTCTAGCCAGGACCCTCTGGGTTTGGTCCCTGCAGGAGCTTCGGCACAACCCAGTCCCCATCCCCAGCCGGGCTGCAGCCAGCACCCAGCACATCCAAGGGAGGCTTAAAAAAACCCAATGCATGTGCAGGGCATGCAGGTTTGTGGGTATAAGCAGGGCAAGAACCAGGGCCAGGCTGTGGCAGGGGTCTCCAGGGCCACCAGGAGGGAGCAGGATGGATGCCTAGAGCCTCCCCCATGCTGCAATCCTTTATCAGGGGGCTCCAGCAGGAACCCGACCGCAGGAGGAGACCCTCGCTGAGCAGGGAGCCCCTGAGCTTTGCAACAGGCTGAGTCCGGGTGGGGATGGCGGTGTCGAACCACGCTGCCCCGGAGAGCCGGCTGCTGCCCCACACCCAGGACCAGCTTCAGCGGGCAGACAGGGCAATGCTGCCAGCTCTTCCCCTTCCCTCCCATCTTCCCTGGCTTGAACCTGCAAAATGAAGTCAGAGTTTGCCTTCTATCCCGCACTGAAAACAGCCAGAGCAGGAGCAGGGCCTCCAAATGGCTTTATTAACCCACCGTGGGTGACAGCATCATGCTTTGGTCGACAGTGCCCATTGCTACCGCAGCCCGAGGCAGCAAGGTGAGGCCAGTTTCTGCGCATGGGGCATTGCAGCCCTGCATGGCCTGGCTGGGGCACAAGGCATCTTTATCAGAGAAGCGGTGCCCGTGCCCCATGGTCCAGCTGGGGTCTGAGCCCCACGGTTACGTTGCTGGTCTGCGCGTGGGGAGAATCATCTCTTCCTCCCCAGGGATGAGCTTCACTGGCTGGCCATGCCCAAGCACCGTCCTCCACTCCTTTGAGGCCCAGGGGACGGTGGCTCTGGTTCTTCGGGCGCGGTGGGGTGCCCGTCTGTGCCATCCACCTTCACGGGCGGCTGCATGAAATAGGTGGGCAACAAAGCCTTGCTTACTGTGGGGCTCAGAGAGGTGTAACAGCCCAGCTCCAGCCCAGCCTGTGCTACAGCAGACATCGAGCTGAGGGAAATGAGATCTAGCTACCAGGATGTGGGGGCCATAGAGTAGCTAAGGGGTCCAGAGCCTGCCCCTGGGTGACCCAGCTGTGCGAACACCTGAACCCTTGGGCTGGAGAGTCACAGAAGCTGGCCTTCTGCATCCACAGCGGGCTGCTGGGCTGCCGAGCTCAGGTGGGCCTGGGACCCTATGGCAATGGCTGTGAAAGGCAGATCCCTCCCACACCCCCTGGCTTTGCTTTCACCCCTGCCAGCATCTCAGAAGCAGGGAGTCATGAAAGCATCTGCTGCATCACAAGGGGTTAAAAGGAACCGGGGAAGGGGAAGGTGTTGCTGAGAAGCTGTGTATTTTCTTTGCACCAGCCTCTGCAAAGGAAAACCACGAAGCTGTGGGCAAAAGAGACGTGCAGAACAACACCCACAAAAAGGGCGCTGGTGGGGGCGCTGGCAGAGCTCGGGGGCCAGGGACAGGAGGCTGTGGGTTGTCCTGCACAAGGCACAGCTCAGAGGCAGCTGGAAGGGGCAGCTTTCATACCACCTGGGGGGTTGGTGCCTGGTTCTGCACCGAACCGGGGTTTCCTGTGCATGGGCAGTCACCTACTGCATCGCCCCTGTGCAGCCGAGCTCTGTATGCACCAAGGGCTTCCTACCAACCCCATGCACATCCCTGCAGCCCCCAGCCAAGCCCACCCAGCTGGGGCTTTGCTTGCCCTCCTTTGTCCCTCTGCCCATGACAAAGCATGGTGGGCCCATCAACCCCCACCTCCCTGCAAGGGGACATATGCTTCCCCTCCACCATTTCTTCTCCCCTACAGCATGTCTGCACCACAGGGCAGCTGTCTGTGCAGCATCCTCGGGGAGACCCAGCCTTTGGGGAAGGGGGTTTCTGCTGGGGTAGCCCTTGCAAAGATGCTAGCAGTGTCAGGGAGACCAGCCACCCATGGCAGTGTCGGTGATGAGTTATTCTTGCAACAGGGAGACTCCTACCCGCACGCTTCAATGTGGTTCAGGCAAACACCCGGGGCAGGACAGGACACTTGGGTCCCAGTCCCTGCCATCGACCAGGCAGAGGAGGGCTGTACTTGTGGCAGTCGCCCACATCTCAGAGAAAGGGAATTTAACACTAAGCTAGGGAGCAAACAAGGGATGCAGCCACCTCATTAAGTAACACCAGGTCCAGTGAGGCCGGTGTTACTTCCAGTGAAGGCCATTAGCCATTGGCATGCTGCACTGAACCGCAGGCTCCCATCCCTCCCTTGATGTCTTGTGCCCAGGGCAGGATGCTTTCCTGGGCAACCAGCTTCCTCCAGACAAACAATGTTTTCAGTACATGGGCATCTGCCTGGGTTTCCCTGGCGTGTGTCCCTTCTAGCCCTAGGCTGCGAATCCTGAGCCCCGCTCCGGGGAGGTTGTATTAGTCCCTGTTATACATGCGGGGAAGCTGGGACAGTGGGAAAGAAGCTTTGCATGCCACACCAGGTCAAGGTGATCTCTCAACTTAAGGATCGTTGTCACCAGGTAACGAGTGCACATCCAAGGCCTTACGCTGGCCCGTCCTCTGATGGGCTGGATCACAGACCGCAGGCATTGCTTGGTTTCCCAAAGAAGGGCTGAGGGCTGCCTAGTGCGATTAAGCTCACCTGAAACCCAGGACACATTTTGACCTGCTGTTTTCGAGTTGTCACGCTAGCCTGGAGTTTGTTCTACTGATCTGCTGGGGGTGAAGTGCTTTCCTCTGCCCGCTAATAACTGATGCTCTGGCGTATTTCTGTGCTTCCTGGTCATGAGCATTAAATCACTTGTTTGCACCAGACGGCAGGAGCTTGGGGTTTGCAAAGGCAGCTGGGTAGGGCTCTCCCAGCTGTGCGTGCTGCAAGTCAGGCCAGGAGCAGATTTAATCTACTGAATGGGCATGTTTACACGTGCATTTACTGCGCAATAATTTACTGCTCAGTAAATTACTGCACAGTGAGCGGTTTTTAGGCCAGCCTCTACACATGCAAGCGTTACAGCTCAGTAATGCTGTGTGTGGACTGACTTGGGACAAAAGTTAGCAAATTTATACCCAAGTCAGCATAAGTCACCATAGTTACTGCACAACACCTGCATGCACGTGTAGACACGTGCCTGTACTGTGCAGTAAATTCGGTTACTGTGCAGTAACCTAAATTACTTTGCAGTAACGGTGCACGTGTAGATGCACCCAATGTGTCTGGATGATGTACACTCCCCGCCGCCCCGTGCAACAGACCCAACAGGACAGACTTACCAGAGTTCTCCACGCAGACGTGGTTCTTCTCTCCTGCAAGACAAACAGCCGGCGTTAAACACCTGTCAGGTGCTAGGGGTGTAGGTTGTAGCGGTGTTGGTCTAGGGACATAGGCAGACAAGGTTCTTTGGGTAAATCCAATCTCTTTTATTAGGCCAACTAAAAGCCCTGGCCATTTTCAAGGGGCCTAGATCAAGCTGCAGACGTGCAGGTCCAGCAGAAGCCCCCAAAGCCTGTTTCTGAGTGGCCATCGTGTGAACCTTTGAAGATATGACAACCAGCTTGGGCAGCAAAGGAGAGCAAGCCATGACCATGTCTGACTAAACCAGCCATGAGCTCCATTTACACGAAGCACAAGGCCTGAAAGAAGACATCATAAGGGAAGATCCATACATTAAATAATCCAAATACACTGTAGCATAGCTGTAGTTTATAGTCATGGAAGGAACCAAATGTCTTAGAGTCTATTTTGCTCTAACGGATATATTTTTGTGAAGGTTTTTAGCTAAGTTGTAGGTAAGTTTAAAAATAAGTAGATCAGTTTAAAAATGAAACGGCCTCATCAGAGAAGACCATGAACGAAGGGAAAGAAACAGGCCAGGGTTGAACAGTATTCCACAGTGGGGAAAGAAAGGAGAGAAGAAACCTTCCCTTTTACTTTCCCAGGGATGTAAATCCCAACTAATCGACACCGTCCAAGTCCACAAGAGCCCCAGTTCAGTCCAGTTCCCAAAGTTTCAGGGAAACAAAGACACGTAAATAAAACCAAGCAGTGAATATCATTAGAATATTTCAAATGACCCATCTCTAAATAGGGGGGATAAGCTGATGGGAAATTTGGTGGGGAACTCAGCATATTCAAGAAGTCCTGATGCCAGTCTCCCCCATCCTGAGTGTCCCCAGCCTGGGGTAATCTCAGGGACACGGATAAACTTTGGGATAAATGTTTGCCTTTTGTATTTTGAACTGCAAGCAGCTAAAAGGTCGGGCCGGGGGTGTTGTATCTGCATCTTTTATCTATAGGCAACCTGCAAAGTGACCTGTCATCTGGCAACAACCTTCACTGTCCCCGAACCCTGAGGACTTGTAAACCAGTTGCAGTCTCACCTGCCAGCGTCCACCCCGTTCTGCAGGGGTCTGGGGCTAAAGCTACGGGGAAGCATTGCTAAAGGCTGAAAGGAAACAGAAGGAGCGTGGAGATCCCATTTTCCTCCATGTCCTTGCTCACCAGTGTCCCCGGCTCCCCCCTCCCCGAGGCAGCCCGGGCGCGGGTCCCAGCCCGCCAGGCACTCACCGCCCAGGTAGGCGCAGTTGAAGTGGCTGCAGGTGCGGTTGGTGCTGTGCAGCACAATGACGCTGCTGTTTCCCTGCCGGGTGACGTTGGACACGGCGAACACCTCGCCGGGAGGGATCAGCACCTCCTTCTCAAAGCCCAAGAAGGAAAAGTTCTCGATGTGGGCCCCGAAGCAGGAGCGCAGCATGAAGAACGTGGCGCTCTTGTAGCCCTGCGAGACGGAGGCATCCAGGGACGAGGAGGTGAACTGTCCAAACCGGACCGGGCCTTTCCCCTGGACCTCGACGTGCCGGGAGCCACCTCCCCGGTAGAGCTGGTTGCGGTACATGCGCCCGCAGTCCTCCCGCAGCAGCTGCAAGGCTCTGCTCAGGTAATAGTGCAGGGCCTTGAAGGGGAAGGTGCGCAGGTAGGTGTCTCGGGACACCCCCGCCTCTCGCACTGCTGTATTCAGATCCCGGTAAAGCGGCTGGACGGAGTCCGTGTAGACCAGGAGGGCGATGCCATGCACGTCCCGAAAGCCCGCAGGCAGATGCAGCCCTTTTTTCTTCTCGGCCCAGACAGCCGACAGGTTCGTCCACATCCCGTCCAGCAGCGCATGTCTGGCTCTTTCCTCCTGCAGCAGCCGCGGAGCAGCCGCCTCCATTTCCTCCGTGCACCCGATGTACTGGTCATCGAAGGAGTCGGGTGCCATCCCCAGCTGCCTGGGAGCCTGGCACCGCACCTGGAGGTGGGGGAAGGAACAGAGACCCCATCGCACCGGCTCCGCCTGGCACCAGTGACACCTGGGATCTGTGCAAACCTGGCCAGGTCCCAGATCCCCAGGAATGGTGCAAGAGCTGGACGTGGCTCCCAGGCCTGCCTGGATTTGCAGCCCCTAAGCTGCTGCATCATTTGTGGGTGGCTGCATTGCTCGTGCGCACCAGGATGGGGGTCCATACCGTCCCGATGGGTAGAGCACTTGCCCTGCAAGCAGGACCCCAGGCTCTAGGCCCACTTCACCCTAAGGGATTACAAACCCACTAGGCCAGAGTACAGCCCAGAGGAGCCAGGATGCAGCACCTCCAGGGGCTTGGGCCCCTGGAAAAAGCAAGAGACGTGACCCTGTGAGGGGAGCAGGCAGCAGGATCATGAGCGAGCCAGGACTAGGTTTCACCTAAGCACTGGCTCCATCTCCTTGCCCCGGGGAACCGCCAGCCGGTGCAGGATGGTCCCTGATTGACAGGGCAAGGCGCCCCGATCCCGGGGAGGGCTGGGGCTGGGAGTTCGCCAGGGCTGGGAAAGGCTTTTGTGCTTCGTTCGCATGGAGTCAGCTACCTGGGGGGGGCTCAGCCAGGTCTGCGCCCACAGGTAAGTCACAGCGAGGGCCAGGGGCCTCATCTCCATCACCCGGTGCACCTGCAGGAGGAAGGGAAATGCAGCAAGCAGGTTAGTGGGAACAGGTCCAGTTTCTGTGGGTGAGATATCATCTCCCGAGAGCAAACAGCTAGTGACCCAGGACAACAAACTGTGCTCCTGCAGAGCCTTTGCTGCCTCTGCCAAGGAGGAAGCTCTGAGTTTGGAGTGTGCGACCGTCCCGGGCTTTAGGATTGAGGCGATCTCCACCCCCACCGGGACCTCTTCACGGAGAGCGGGGGCTTGGCCAGAGAGCCGAGCAGGGCAAAAACACAGGAATAATGTCTAGTGCAAATCTCCAGTTTCCAGGACGTTTGCTGATTCCTTTTTTTTTTAAATTATTTTTAAATGAATACAAACTGAAAATGAATCCAGCATCATAGAAACGTTGGATTCATTTTCAGTTTGCATTCACTTAAACAATAATTGCACACACATCCACCCTCACGCACACACATACATGCTGCCTTTCCCGCACACACAAACACATGCAGGTATGTAGACACACAAACGTGTCCAGATACATATCTATACAACTAGACACACATGCACGCACAACCTGCCCCACATAAGCACACACACACAAGCCCCAAGCTCTCCTCTTGGTTATACTCAGAGAGGCGTAGTTAGCCGTTGTAGTCAGAGCTCAAGCAGAAAGAAGCCTTTCCAGGAGGCGTGGCAGCTTGTGCAAAATAAATATGTATATTGACTTTGGTTAGTCTCTAAGGTCCAAATCCGTCCTGCTCTTCTGTTCCCACGTCCTGTTCTCAGGAGAAGTCCCCACGCACTGAGGGGCTCAGCCACTGTCACAGCTGTAAGACCCACGTGCAGGCAGACACTGGGGCTGTCTCCCGGATGCTGCGCAGAGCCCGCGGCCTGGCTCCCACCCTCCTGGCCGGGATACAGAGACAGGGAAGTCCAGGCAGGTCCCGAGGGGCTCTCCGGTGGTGCTGGCTCAGCACATCCAGCCAGCACCAGCACCAGCACCCAGCTCTAGGACATCAGCTGCCGACAAGCCAGGGCTCATAGCAGTGTAATAACCCATTTCAGAGGCCCCAAATCTACTGGCTTACATTTCAGCACTTAGATTTTACAGCAGAAAACGCCCCAAATGGTCCGTGTTGTCCTACACAGACACAACCAGCAGCGCACACCCCGGTCTCAAGGGAGGTAACGGCACCTTTCCCAGGTCAGCGCAGCTCCTAGAAGGCCCTGCAAAGAGGTGACGCAGGAGGCTCTGAAGCTAGGCAAGCCCAAGCTTTGGGGAGCACAGCCGTGCACGCAGCAGCGCCACATCCACAGCCCTGTGGTGAGTTTTTTGCCCTTGCAGCACCTGACAGATCTTCCCAGGGAGCACCGTGTGCACCCTCTGCTCCCCCGCAGCAGCAGGGAAGAGGAACCCACCTTCGGTTTGTTTTGCACCGATCTTCTCTTGCAGCAGCTGCTGGGAGGCCCTGGGGTTGTGTCCCGCTCGTCTGAAGGCGGCCCCTGCTCTTAAAGCCTTATCGCAGCCCGCCAGCCTCCTTTGATCAGACCTCAGGGAAGGAGCTGAACGGGCGGCACCTTTCAGCACCTGGTTTGCACAGTGGGTGGAGGCCAGTGTGATTTCATCGGCGGCCGACTGCCCTGTCCAGCCTGTCTGGGACCTGCCCCGTGGGAGCCCTGTGAGTCAGGGCTGAGGAAGAAGAGTAGATCATGAACCTAAACTTTCCCTCAAGGTGCAGCAAGGGAAGTTGAGATGAGATATCCGGAAGAATTTAGCACTGAAACAGGCTCCCCAGAGACGTGGTGGACTCTGCATCCTTAGAGGTTTTGAAGGATAGACAAAGCCTGGGCTGGGATGATGTAGTTGGGGCTGGTCCTGCTTGGAGCAGGGGGGTAGACTAGATGTGACCTCCTGAGCACCCTTCCAACCCTCATTTTCTATGATTTTATGATGAAGATATGTTCCCCTGAGCTAACGATCTGGCCCTGGGTAGCTGAGACGATGAAGAGCTGGTGCATGGCAGGAAGGGGCTGTGAAGCCAGCAGCACCGCTGCCACTCTGCATTACTGCCCTGGGATCACTCTTAGCCCAGCGAGTGTGAGGAGGCTCACACCTTTCCATCCCGCACAGACGGCGTGCCAGAGCTGCACACAGGGAGTTAGGGGCATCCATGTGAGGAGGGAACCGAGACCCCAAGCCTGGAGATGCTTGCGGGGGGACCCGAGTAAGGTTCACAAAGCGGTGAAGAAAAAGTCACTAGGGATTTACGACCAACTCTCTCTCACCAGGCATGAAACGACCGGGTCGTCAGTTCAAAACGAACGGCAGGAAGTTGTGTATCACCCGGTGTGCATTCAAGGGGGAAGTTCGTTGCCACCGGATGCGGTGGAAGCTGATCGTTTAGCCCCAAGGGCTATTTCACATGCCTGGAGGAAAGGGGCCTCCGCAGCTATTGCACCTGGGAGTGAAGGGCACGGCCTCTGCATCAGAATATCTTGGACCTTCAATGCTGGAGGCGGCAAGCATGGGCGACTGGTGCCTCCCGAGTCTGGCGGGGGGCACCAGATCACTGACAGTGCACTTCCAGTTTGACGGCTGGCGCTTCCAGGGGTGCATGGCCGATCTCAGGGGGTGCAAGTGCACCCGTGCTAGGGTAGCTTGTCACATTTTATGCTATAAGTTGCACCTGTTTATAGAGTGGTGAATTATAGCATCGTTTAAAGTTTTCTTTTAAATTCAGCCTACAGTTCTGTATGGCCTCATTGGTATGTGAACTTTTCGTTTCGCTGGCGTTGGCAATATCAGCTGGCCTTGTTTCTTGCAAGCAGCTTATGGCCTTGAGCTTGCCCGCATGCTGTTTCTTTCCTTTTCCTATCACTGTGAGACTTTTTCTAACACAACATAGTAATAGTTTTGTTACTAGCTCAGATTAACCGAACTTGGCGCTAACCAGCTGAATCAGAGGGAGGAAACGATTTGCTATGTTAATGAAAGGTGATAAAGGAGACCAATGGACAATGCTTAAAGTAAGGTGTGCTCGTAATGGGGATGTTGAACAAAGGAATATGTTGACAGGATAAAATATGAACAATATGCTGACTGCAGAAAGACCAATCCAAAAGCAAGGAGTCACCAAAGCAGTCAAGTTAAAGCCAAGCATTAAAGGAGGAAGCAAGGAAGTGAAGTGTGTCATCGTCATCATCATCATTTCCATCGCGAATCCAGCTTTCAACACCTGTCTGGATCATCCCAGGCAACGACGCACCCTTTGCTTCAGGAACCGAGAGGCCGTCTCTTCTGTGAAGCAAAGTAACATCGGGGATTGGGTGAGATCATTGTACTAAGTGTTTTTCTCTCTCTGAATATAGAAACTGCTGAGATAATACTTGTACTAATAAAGTTAAACTTTGATTTTCAGGCACTGGGTGGTCTGCGTTTGTCTTTCACGTTCCATTTAAGGGTTACTTGTGCTTTAATGATCCCTAAACGTGCTCTGCTGATCAGTGGTGCAAACACCTGCATGCACCCCCATGCAAGGAGTGGGAGGCAGCAAGGAGCAGGGGGAAAAGCCCCGGTCTGACCCAGATCACTCTCCCTTCCAGCCTCTGTTCCCTGCTGCTGAGTGATGCCGGACTCTGGGCAGCATGGACCTATAGTCTGACCTGAGGCCTGATGGCCAGTAGTCAGACCATAGGTCAGTAGTGTTGGGTAGCCAGTAGTCATTAGTGGCAGAGAAATCCCAGCACCACTGTACAAGGCGCTGGTAAGGCCCTGTATGGAGGATGGTGTACGGCTCTGGTCACCCCTGGGCGGAGAATCAATGCTTACTTGATGTCTGTGTCTCTCCCCTCTCCCTTTCTTTGGAAGGGTTGTGCTGGTGCCCTTACTAGTCCTTGGCACCCTCTCCCGGGGCGGCTTTCCTGCAAGCACTGGGTGTGCTCCTGTTCCTGCAATCATTGCAGCAGCATTTCACCCCCCAAATTCCCAGCCCTGCAGTGACAGGCAACTCATGTCGCCCCTGCTCCTTACCCCGAGGGCATCCGAGAGCAATAGGGTGCTCCATGGCTGTGAGGTTCAAGGAGCCAAGACGGGTCATGGCAAATGCAGGGGACAGAAGGCTCCTTCCAGCCCTGCCTTCCTATGGGAGGGGTGACCCAGGCTCTGTCCCTGGCCTCAGCTGGGCAACATGGCATGGTGGGAGGAGGTCTGTCTCTTGCATGGCTGACCTGGCTCAGCTGCCTACTCCAAAGGAGGCCTGGCTGCAGTCCCTGAGCAGGGATCGGGGCCTCCTTCCAGCCTGGAGCTGTGAGCCAGGCTATCTAGGATGGCGGGGCTGTACTCCCTGAGCGATGGCTGTACCTGGCTCCCACCTCAGCATCTGGGTTGGGAGCATCCCTGCCCCAGCTCCTCCTCTGTGTGAGTTCCCCGCGGCCCCTAGGAGTTCAGGGGAAACTAGAACGCAATGCAAGGAGCTCTTTGTTGCGTGTTGGTTTTTTGACCCGTGTCTTTCCAGCAGCATCTCAGTGCCCGGCTGCCCTGACGGATGTTCCCCACATTAATAGATCGCGTAGCCTGACGCAAATGGTTTGTGCTTGAGCTCTGCAGGCTTCCTGCATGTTGTAGCGGGAAAGAGGTCATTGCAGGAAGGAGAAAGCCATGGAGCGGAAGGCAGGACAAACAAGCCAGCCCCCTCTGCTTCTCACAGCCTGCTTCGAGGGAGAGATGCAGAGCAGGGGACAGTGCTTGGGGTTTCTCCAGCGAGCGGAAACGAGCCAACAGCCCCGTTCCGGGGTCTCCTCCCCACCGTGGCTCCACGCCTTGTGCCGTGCTGCTGATGCCTGCCTTGAACCCTCCTCCCCTGCGCCTGCAGCTGTGCTAGCTTCACGGTTGTACGGCGAGGGTGTTCCTGTCGCTGGGTGTTTGTGACTGGTGCGGTCAACACCGCGGACTACAGCTTCCCTTTACCCCTTCAAAGTCACACCCCGGGCTTCCTGGACATCTGCATGGGGCTTTTCCTTTGTTTCTCCTCTCACTGACTTTGCTGGGCTTGTTTAGCTATTGCCTGGCTCTGACCTTCCCATTGTGGTGGGAGAAACCTCCCTAAGGTTCGTTGTCTCGCTGTAATTTGATTGACAGACAACGCGGGTAAAGAAAGACAGCTGTTTATTTGCTCGAGCAAAGACCATAAAGCCAGCAAAAGGCAAAATGCCCCCCCCCTAAGGGTGAGGTGATCTTTTATACTTATTACAACAAGGCAAGACTTCATGGTTAACAAAAAAGCAATACTTGGGTGGTGCTTTTCAAATCTTTGTAACAGCATATTTCTATTAAGCTGAACTAGCACTTTTTTAAAAGCTAAAAGTTAAGTAACAGTAACATTATAATATGTTAGCAAAACCTTACACAGTAGTAGATACTTCTCAAGGACACAACCAGTGCACCCAGAACAATGGTTTCCCTGTCTTACCTTACTTCTTGCTGTAGCTGATTTTTCAGCACACAGACACAGATCCACGTTTTAACTCAGAAAATGCTTAATACAGTTAAAATGGTTACTTGACACAAGCAAAGGCTTAGCTATCAATCTGCCTTGTGGTCAGCTGTATTGCTAGGCCACAGGCCATGCCTTGTATTCAGCGGTAAAGCTAATACTTCCTAATAATCTAAATTATTGTAAACCTAACAGTATGCTTATCAGAAAACTGTTCTATTTCAGGGTAATAACAAACCTGCGCACTACACCATGAATCGCCTGCTTCGCTGCCTTCCCTGACATGGGTACCCTTTGGCTTTGGGGCCTTTGGTGCAGTTTGGGGGGATGCATGCTCCTGCGTTGGGATAACTCAGTCTGGGGACCTGGTACAGTAGCCTAAAGGCTGCTCTCGGGGGGCGGCAAAGCATGGCTTACGGATCAGTGGGGCACGCAAAGCCCCAGCAGCTCCCCGGAGAGGGAAGATCAGTGTTTCAGAGGGTGCTCTGCTTGGGAGGCTTGGGGTTTGCAAGCAAAATGACAGCGGAAAGAGCACGATGGTAGAGGAAAGGCCACACCTGACACTGCAGCCACGGAGCCGGAAGCACAGAGGAGAGGGAGCGATACAGAAAGAAAAAGAGAGCACAACAGAAGCCAAGTCGAAGGGGAAGAAGGTCAAACCCATCTCTGGCTGCCTTTAGACTGGAATACGCCGAGGTCCTGTATACCTTCAGCGGTTCCCGGGGAGCATCCCCTGAACCCGCGCTTGCAGACCTGGTGCGAAACAGGAGTCAAAGCGAAGCGGGGAGAGAGCAGCCGACGGCATCCTGGTCACCAAATGCCGTAAGCATTAACCAGAGGGGCTGGGTTTGCTCACACGCCGAACACAGGGAGGACAGAATAGATTGGCAAGACAGACTAGATCGTGGCAAACACTTCTCCAGAAACAAAAGGCATGTGCTGAAGCAATTGAAAAATCTCATTTGTTTCAACACCCCCGTTCTGGGGCGCCGGCTGCTTGGACCAGGTCATTAGCTCAGAGCTCAATGCAGCTGCTGAGCATTAAAAGCAGAAAGCTGCAGGATCCAAAGTTGTAGTAAGATGGTGTTTAACTGGGATTTGAGGTCGGCACCCAGCCCAGGGTGTTTCTGATTTGGCTGTGTCATTGCACAGGATTTGGGGACAGGGAGATATCAAGTTAGAAAAGGGTGGTTTTGTGGGGGCGGCTGGAGGCCTGGGAGCTGTGCCCACACGCCCCTGCCTGCCGTCAGCATCACACCGAACGGGCCTGATGCCAAGGTCAACTGAAACCAGAAAGGCCTCCCCTGGACGGCCGTGGGGTTTGGATCGTGCCCTTTTTCTTCAACAGCCCCAGCCATCCTGAAAACGAAAGTGAGCAAGGAAGTCCTTTATGCAAACTCTGGCTGCTCCCTGCGATATGCTCTTGTATGAAATCCTCGCCGCCTTTGTTCTGCTCAGCAGCCTGCTGGGGACCTCGGGCACTGGGAAGTCAGGTCTTGCAGCCCCCATAAAGGTTTCCCCCACCCTGTCGGCATTTCTGTTGCATTTGTGCCTCGACAAGGGAACGCACAGGAGAGAAACCCTGCCCTGGGTTGCAGCTGCATTGCAACCGACTGGTCACGAGGTCCCATGGCTGGAAACTGGTGAGTTTTCCTATTAAGAGCTGTGCCACTGGCCCGGCTCCTCGTCCCCGGTGCTGGGTTCAGTGGCTTCCCCAGGGAGCCGGCCGGCATGTGGGCATGGTTACATCCTAAGCCCATCACTGAGGAAAGGATCGTGGCCTCGGGGTCCTTTACGAAAGGCGGCAGGAGGGTGCTATGGGAGGGGGAGAGGGGACTGGAGGGCAGGACCAAGCTAAGTAGGGACCTGCTTTGGGGGTCTCCCTATGCCTGAAGAAGGGCATTTGTACCCAAAAGCTTGCAAAGAACCATTTTCCCTACTACTTAGTTGGTCTAGTCAAAGATATCACACGTTTACCCAAAGACCCTTGTCTGTCTATTCAAACCAGGCTCCCTGCAGCCAGCGATTTGCATGAACAGTTGCACGCCCTGCCTGCAGCTCAGGGTGTGGGCAGAGAGTTGTCTCAGTCTTAAAGCCCAGGATTTAGAAGCCACAGAACAAGGCAATAGATGAGAGCCCGGGCAGACCCACGGCAGAGGCTGAGGGGCTGCAGAGCCATGGCCCCAATTCCTCCCCAAAACAGAGCGACCATCGCCGGAGAGGAGTGCCCAGGCCCTTCTGTGCGCCTGCCGCACTGCAAGTTCATCTTCCTTGCCCAGAAGGGCATGCCCTGGTCTAGACGAGGTCTCCCTGGGTCATACAAAAGCATTCACCTGTACCCGTCTCTGCTGGAAACTCATCGCCTGGTGCACGCCGGGTTTGAATGACGTTGTTTCTGCTAAAAAAGTTGAGCAATGCCCGACTAAAATTGGATACCGCCCCCGGTTATGATTTTTTAATCCTACCGGGGGGCTCTTGTCTTTTGCGGGAGGCTCAGCCCCCCGATCTCCTCCATAATTTGAACCCTAGGTGCATGCATTAGTGGGTTTTTTGTGGCTGCGTCACGCTGGAGGCCCAGATCAACCAGAAACCCCAGGTCGGGCTTCTCTCTTGTTGCCCGTTGATCCCCTCCCTCTTATAAAAGAAATTCTGGTTGCAAGTGCTAGATAGACCGTTTGTTTTTAAGGAGTACAAAGATGGTTTCCTGTCTTCAAGAGCATCCGCTCTTTCCAGGTCCCTCTCTCAACCTCCTTCGTGTCTCGCAGCTCGCTCCACCAGACGACGCCCCACTTTTCATGCCAAAGTATTTGATCAAATGTTAAGCAAGATTGATCCCAAGACCCGTCCTTGAGGAATTACCTCCCTCCCGCCTGATAACCTCTCATATCAGTGCGACGCATTGTCCTCTCCTCTCTGCATAGTTCCTCATTCCTTTTACCCTGCGCTTTGTTAACATAATTTAATTAAGCAGGGCAGCAGGATCCCAGGGTATTGGCATGTGGCTCCAAGTGTTTATTCCCCTTGCTCTTTGTTTCCTGAATGAGACCAAATGGCCTGCAGTTGATAGAAAGCCCATCAACAAAGAGGGCTATCACAAGTCAAATTAACTGCCTGGGCTGTTTCAACAGACGCCCTTTTCAAGTTAAGTATTTCCAGTAAGTCCTAAACAATGTTCTGCTAAGCAGATGTGGCCAACAGCAGCATGACGTCAACTGAGGGCTGCAGGGAGGTTTCCTCCTGGCAAGTTTTGTCTCCGTCCATTGCTCAGCAAGGAAGTTGGTTCCCTCTGCAATGGCTTTTGCACGCTGAATCTCCCCACATGTCCGAAGCTCGCTGGAACGCTGCTATTATTTCCTTCTGTTGCAAATCTTGGGCAACCCGATGCTGATTTCTTTGCTATCCAGGTGATACTTGCATTATGTTCAGAGCGGGGTTAGAAGCAGATCAGCCCTGTAAATCCCTAACCGGGACCGAGGCACAATGTAGAGCCCTGACCCAAACCAGCTGCTGCAAAACTGCCTGAAAATCACCATTTTTACCTGAAAAATATCCCAGGATGCCTGGCGCTGGGCTCTTGTGCATGCTTCAGTGGGATCCACACCTAAGTTCCCACGTCTTTGGTAGCATCAGAGTGTTATAGCAGCTGTGCTGGTCCAGGACATATGCAAGAAAAAGGGGCTTTTTTGATGATATCTATTATTGGACCAGCTGTACGGTCGGGAGAGACATGGGACAAGATTTGAGGAAGGGCACTTTGCTGTAGATGGGGGGTCGAATTGCGCTGGGGGCCGTGCAAACAGTGAGTGAGGGGAACGTACCGAGCTTGCAGTGCTCCCAAATTAACACAAGCAGGCTGGGGAGAAGGGAGGTGGACAGACACAGACCTGTCCCCTTTTTACCAATGGGGAAATGAGGCCTGGAGAAATGAAGACACTTAGGAGGCTACATTTTGTTTTGTGAACCTGAAAGAGATGTGCCTTTGATGCTAAAGACAACGGGACTAGAGAAACAGCATCTTTTGAGTAGTGTTTGCCTAGTCTGTCGTGGTTTTTTTAATATTTAACACATGCTACAGCAAAGCAATGACCCTTCCAAGAAAAGTGATTTGTATTTGTTTGCATTTTAAACAGAATCATCTAGCCATAGGCCCCTGGCTAAACTTCCCAGTTTCTTCTTTTCTTGGAGAAAAACATGTGTTGTGTTAGATGTGACCGCATCATTTGCAAAAAATCCTAGATCCGCCCTTGCGATGCCCCTGCAATTCACTGCTTCCTTCTGCTGATGTGTGATGCCCCTTCACTCCCAAGGGAGACTTTTCATTTCAAACGCATGCAAAGATAGCAAAGGAAACAGGACTGCAGCTACATATCCCACATGCAAAGCATCTCCTCTTTCTACTGTCTGTTTGCAGATCGAACAGGAAAAGGTCGTGGTTTTATCGGCACGTAGCATTCAGAACGGTTTCCTGGCGCATGTCTGAAGGCAAACAGCTGCGTTCGCTGTGAGCAGAGCCAGGCAGCAATGGGGTGGGAGGGTGGCAAGGCTTTTTTGGTTCCTATTTTTCATAATTGGTTAGATTTGGTTCCTATTTTTAAATCTAAATTTGAAACTCTACCACAGTTTTAGCATGTGGGAAGTCGTGGCCACGGCCCACGAGACCTAAATAATGAGGTAGCAATTTCCTGCCGGACTGTGAAACCATGGGAAGGGCACAAGTTTTTGTCCTTCCCCAAAACCTACACTCACATGACCATTGGATTTTTCTACAGCTCCACAATGACAGTGGCAACGGTTTTGATGCTCCTGCCTGTTGCGATATGGCTGTATCTTCAAACCCTCCTGGAGAGCCCACAGGTAAAATTTTCTCCAAGTAGCTCTTTTCTGCAGTTTGAGCCCTGTGAGACTGACTTCTGGCTCTGTAGCAGTTGTGAGCAGTGCCCAGGCCTTCACAGGATGGAGGAAACGAATACAAACAGGAGTCCAGAAGTCACATACAGCATTTCAGGGGGGTGCAAAGTCCCTTCCTGGCCTTCCTGGCAGGGGGGGAGAGTCTCCCATTCAACCCCCACCTGACACCAAGCCGGGGAAGTGGACGGCGCTGAACCTCCACCGCTCTTGCTCACTTGCAAAAGTAGCAGCGAACAACACCGTGCAACGAAACTGCGCCTTGTTTCCTTCTTCTCGTTGTCGGTTCCCTCTCACCCCGCTGATGTGCGACGTTCCCTGATGCAGCGCACACGCCGTCCCCTTCGCTTCGCCTGCAGCTGAGCTCTGTTAAGCACAGGACGCCGTCTAGCTGGGAACAACCCCTCCGGAGCCGCGGCGATCCTCTGCGCTGCCCGCCCTGCTGCTTCCACGCCTGTCCCGTCCCGTGTTGTACGTGCGCACACGTGCCTCAGCAGCCTCCACGCTGAACCTAACGATATCGGTTTCCTTCTTGCTCATGCCCCCGTTGGACTCGCTTGCTCTTTTGTCCGATGTTTCCCTTCCTGAAGTCTCAGAGCTGCTTAGCAAGCACGCTGGGGGGTGACCTCTTTTATGGGACCAACTGCTCGGTGGGAAAGACAGGCAAGCGTGGGGGCATCCATGTGAAATCAGGCAGCCGGCAGGGCAGGATGGCACCCGAGAGACTAACTGGGAGAGCGATGCCCTCGTGCCTACCACTCCCAACACCAGGGTCTGCCTCGATTGCCCCGGGCCGCTCCAGCCATTCTCCGCTTGCTGATCGTCTTCCCAACCCCGCCAGCCCTGCCTCTCTATGCCGCAGCCCCCAGCAGGGATTCAGCATGGCCACGGCCCCTCCTCTTGGCCCTTCCAAGCCCACAGCCTCAATTCTGCCCCCATTTCAGCCCCCAGTATTACATGTGAGCTCCTCAAGCCATTGTCTGTCTGTCTATCACCAATTGTTGCCCATGCCCCCAAGCCCTCCTCTCCACCCGCGCAACATCTTTTTTGTCCCCTTCCACCTCTCCCCGTACCCAGCCCCTTTCCCCAGCTCATTCCCACCCCAGACCTTCAACATCCCTTCTGCTCCACCATCCTCCTCTTCCCCTTCCCCTCCCTTTCCTGCCCATATCCATGGCTGGTGCATCAATCTGGCTCAGCCCATTTCACCAAGGGGGGCCAGGCCCAGGAGAAGTGAAGGTGGGATCCCCTACATGATTTAGGCCTTCATTATACAGCTGGAGCCAGGTCAACCTCCCATAGACTTCCAGTATAAAGTGGGCACCAGGTCAACTTCCCAGAGGCTCCCATTATACAGCTGGCACGAAGTCCACCTTCCTTAGGTTTCCATTAGAAAGTGGATACCCAGCCAGCCTGTCTGGCACCCGATCAATGCCCACTGCCCGCTGACCCAGGGAAGCCATGAGTTCTGTCCCCAGCTCCTCCAGGGTCCCATCCCCATTGGTGTTGAACTCCATTGAGTGTGGTGAGGGGTGGAGTAGTACTGGTTATGTCAGGCTCCTTCTGCTTGGGTGGCCTCTCAGGGAGTGTCTACACATGCACTTTAATGTGCATTAGCCTGTTCTACTTTGCATTACAGTGGCATATAAAAAACCATGCTAATACACTAAAATGCGGTGGAATAGGCTGCTGTGCATTAAGCATCACCTAAAAAGCATGTGCTTGTGCTACTGCCCATTATTGCAGCCTAATGCTCATTTATTTAGTACCTCATACTGGAGGTACTTAATTTATATTCCAATATGAGGCACTTGTATTGGAGGTATTTAATGCACATTAGGAAAAGTGCATTAATGCACATGTAGACATGCCCTCAGGGTACCATTGGGGATGTTATACTACAGCTTCTCCTAATAACCTCATTAGTTGTAATACAGAGACCATGAGCTCCATTTCTTAGTAACAAGGGCTCCCTTGAGTTTTCTTGCTCACACACAAGACTAGACACTAACTTCATGTCCCTATTGAGGTCTGGCGCTACCCAGGTTTAGCTGTTGAGTGTGGTCCCAGTATAAAGCAGGGCCCCTAGCTCAGGGCAAAGTATTTAGGGTTCCCAGGTCCTCTTGCATGTATCCATCAGAACAACTTTCTGTTTGCAGCAAACAGCTCCTCTTTCTCACCGATCACCACATGTGTTTAGGTGACTTCATTCACATCCAGTTTTCACCAAACATTGGGACCTTCATGCCAGATAGGGAGACCTGCTTACCAGGACACTGTGAGCTCTGTTTTGGTGTCTTCTACCCATCTTATCCTTTGCTTTCCATCCACTGGCCTTCTGATATGCCTAGATGCTAATATTCCTCACTTGCCTGTCATTTCTGCTTTGGTCCTATACAGTCTGCCTTCAAGTCACCAAGATCCAAGCTGTTACTGAAGCCGACTTTGGTTCATGCTGCTAATGGGCCTCTGTATGATTCCTATATGCATTGCTTAATGGTTGCACCAATCTATGCTCCAGTGAGGCCTATAGTAGACAGGCCAAGGCCTCCCAAGGAGCCAAACTTTTCCTATTTAAACTGTGTGCTTTTGATGGAGCAGAAGCTATATTTTGCCATCCGTGAGCCCCAGAGCCTGGCTGGGCCCTCCAGGCTCTACAGCCACATACTCAAAAATAGATCTGTCTTGGCTTTATTCCCCTAGATGAAAAGCGAGTTAGTGATGGACATGATGCCCGATGCTTTTGACGACCAGTACATGGAGTGCACTGAGGAAATGGAAGAAATTGCACCAGCCCTGATGGAGAGAGAGATGAAAATATCCAAGATATTGAAAACCACCTGGGAGAAAACAGAAAGCAAATGGAAAAAAGTGAAGAGAAAGAAAAATGTGATCGCTACTCTTCCCAGTGACTTTAAGGAAGAGCATGGGAGAGCGATCATAGCCTACACGGACAATGAATTTCACAAAGAGTTTAATGAGGCCGTGAGGACCGCCGGTGCCTCTCCAGTGGCCTACAACACCGGTTTCCATTTCAAAGCCTTTCATTACTACCTGACAAGAGCTTTACAGCTCCTGAGAGAGGAGTGTGAGGTGATGTACGGCATGCCGGTGTACAGGGGCATTCGTGATGTTATATTTCAGAGCAGTGGTGCTGGTCCCATCAGGTTTGGGTACTTTGCCTCTTCCTCGTTGGAAAAGGACATAGCTGAGGCATTTGGAGACGATTCCTTCTTCACCATCCACACCTGCTTCGGGGTTAATATTGTGCGCTTCTCGCATTATAAGGAAGAGGAGGAAGTGCTCATCCCCACCCATGAGATATTCAGTGTGGATGCAGGAGACAGGAACAACAGCTTTGTCCTCCAAAGCACCAACCGGACCTGCAGCCACTTTAACTGTGCCTACCTGGGGCGTGAGTACTGGGCCGCGCGTGCATAATGCTTGCAGGGGGTTGTGTGTCTGGTTGCATTTGAAAAAAGCAACCGCAGAGAACTTTGTTGATAGAGACAGACATAGTCACCGGGGCTGGTAGAGACACACAGGCCATGGACCAGATCCACATCGTTCTTGTAGGGTCCGTGTGTGTGGAATAGTCCTCATGGGATGGACAGTTGCCATTCATTGAACTAAAACCCTCTGTTTCCTTTGCAGACGAGAAGAAGGCAGAATGTATTCACCGCTCTGGTAGGATCCTTTGTGTTTTCATTGCTAGGAAAAGTCCCTTTCCTCCGGGGGGAAGCGGCTTGACCAGACAAACACCATGAAACAAGTAGAGTTAACTGTTTGCTGTCTGTGTGTATCCAGGTCTTCAAACGGCTCCCAGCACTGGAACATCTGGGCAACATCAGCACCAGCACTCGGATGAGGATACTGAACATCTGGCAAGAGACTCACATAGCCCCCCTCAGGACACCAAGAGGAAAGCTGTCATGTCCAGTGAGCTCTAGACCTATTTCACTTCTGCGCCATACACTTCCACGGTGGGAACTTTTCATACTCCGCCAGTGAACAAGCCAGCGCTGATCGCAGAACCAGGTGGTCATGAGCCAGGCAGGCATTCAATTCGATGCAAACTGTTGAAGTTGGCTACCAAAGAGACTTAATCATGAGTATTGATCTCTTAACTGCCAATGGCATGGTTAATCGCCATGCCGCCTTGCGACTGAGGATGGTGAAGAACCAGCACTTCACGAAGATGACCCAGGTCCCTTTGGAGAAGGAAAAGTTCTTCACAAAACTGGGATGGATGCTTTTCGGAGGCCAGGCAACACACGCTAGTCGACCCATTTCATCTCAGGAACCGAGCGGTGAAGCGCGGGCTCAACAGCCGCTGGAGTCAAAGATGACTCAATGTGTGGACCCAGCAGGCCTGAATATTACTTCAGATCGGGCTCTTGCCTTCAAAACACACGTTGAGAAGGTCCGAGCAAAGGTGAATGCTTGTATCCAGCTTTGCTTAAGATAACCACATTGAGGTGGTGCGTAAACCTGTCTATGCGGTAATAACTCATCAGGACTTTGCTGCTCTTCTACTGAATCAGCCTGTGCAATACAGAAACGGGGTCTACCAGCACCAGAGCTGGATCCAGAGTGAAATACTGCCTTTTTCCATGTCACTGTGTGACGAATAGGATTTCTTTTTGCCAGAGCCCGCCGAGGGTTGACATGGCAACTCATCCAATAATTTAATAGTAACCCCTAATACTATTACAAGTTTCCTCCCCATAATACAACCTGGCAAGTGGCTCTTTAGACATTGCAGTGGTAACCTTTGGGTGGTACCAGGCCTGCTCAAGCAGGGCTGCAAGCAGCGGTGTCTGTCCTCCCAGATCACTGCATGCTAACACCCCTTTCCTTTGTTTGTTCATTACTTTTCTAACTTCCTCATCCCAAAATGCCAAGCACATTTCTGATAAGGAAACTGTTGTGCCTTGCTCACCTAGCACACCAGTTGCAGCACTCGCATCTCCCGGTGCCACAGAAGGCACTCTGTTCAATTTTATTGCTTAGTTCCTGCAAAGCCTGGACTGTGGCTAAGAGCCTTAGCACAACTCAGTTTGCCCACTACACTTCCCTCCTTGTTCCCTGAAATACGGTGGCATCAGACAGATGCTCGTTAATCTCTCGCATGAGACTCAAGGCCCGGGGGGGGGTTGCATGATTGCGTTTGACATGTACCACAGACCCTGTGTGCCTTTTCAGATGGCATATGTACGACCAGGGGGGGGGTTTCCCATGTGTTGGCCAATTGATAGTAAATAAATCCTTCGGTAATTCAGACTGCAACAGGCAGAGCTACCTTTCAATCTGTCACGGCTACCCGGGTCATTGCCGAGCCAAATTTAGCTTTGTTTTTAACCATCTTTTAAACACGGAGGTCCAAGGTTTAGCGAACCATCAACTCTGCAGGTTCTTGTTTTTCTTTTTTTAAATAATAAGTTAATGCAGCTTTCCACACAAATCCTGGTATGTTGGTATTATAAATAGCATTTCAATATCAATGAGATTCTTTTAATAGCCTTGAAAACATTTCATCAAGTTGTTTGCAAAAAATACACACCCTACCTTTTAATAGATGCCATTTTGCTAAACAAGTGGCATCTACAACTATTCTCCAACCATTTGGGTTGGTCTAATAAAAGATATCAAATTCACCCAAGGAACCTTATCTACAACTTGAGACTTTCATATGAATTGCTGCCCTTCGTTTCAAATATTAGGACAACTTTCCAGTCCAAACTGGATCCAAGTGTCCTGGTCTGGGATCCACACACAAATTCAATTTTTAGAGGGGGAATTACCAACAGTTTTTATCACATCTTTGTGATATTCATATGCATTTAAGCTCTTGACAACTTAAATAAACCAACCAAACCAAACAACACAAAACAGACAAGATAATTTTTTGTTGTAGTAATAAAGCTATTGCTTAGGTGAGGAAGATGCCATTGAGTCTATGGATGGTAACGAGGCCTCATGGTCTATCAGTCATCTTTGCTACCGACACACAAACCATTCAAGGAAAACTCCTCGCAGTGAAATATTATTCATATTTTTCATTATTCAGTGAAATATTATTCATATTTTTCATTATTCACATTATTCAGTGAAATATTATTCATACCGCAGTGCTGACATGTGCAATGGCAACGTACACATCACTGCAATTTTTGGCTGGGGGTGCTTTTTATACATATTGAACGTCAAGGATCATCCATATTTATTTTACTGTTTTCAATGGCCCATTGCACCATTTTGGCAATTGCAATTGGGACCTTTACAATTGTTCTAAATGTGGGATTGTGGCATGCCAATACCTTTGCTACAATTTTAACCACATTGCCATTTTAAAGATGAGATTTTCCTTTAGTGGGACAATTTCTCCTTCAGAATTTCTGCCTAGAAAGCTTTTTCCCCATTCTTATTGATGGGCATTGTGAAATCTTTAGGATACTTGGATAAAACAATACTGTTGTTCCCTGAATATAAACTCAAAGTGTTACCGGCACTTTTTGTGCCAAGGACGTAGCAAAAAATTTTTAAAAATGACATTGGCCATTGAAAACCATTTTAGCCCTCCTGCTATAGCTGCTAGAAATTCAGGGTACTCTGCTACAACAGGAGCTACAACCCTTGTTATTGCATTCAAAGCTTCGAAGCCCTCTGTAGTTTCCAGGTTTTCCCGTCTGCCTTCAGAGAGACCAGATCAGGGAGTTACACACTTGGCATCTGTGCTGCCACTCCCTAGCAAACCAAACGATCCGTTGTGGGTTATAATCCGATTTCATCCTCTAGTGAATGTTTACACTGCCTCGGTGGAGGAGGGCTCGGTCCCTCAAACAAGACAGCCACCTGGATCTTGCCACATTTGAACTCTTTCTTTGCCCAAACCTCAGGAAATGCCTTTGTTCACTTGTCTTGATTAACCCTATCGATAACAGCAAAAACCTTAATAGCTGCACACTTATAAACACTTTTTTTTTTTTGCCTTAACAAGCTATTAACACTTTCCTTTCTAGGAAATCCACACTACTCCTAGACAGCGGGGAGAGGGAGGGTAGCAAAGACATTTCTCACCCCCGTCACCACTGACAGCGCACACACTCCCACTTCCAACAGTCTCTCTGCCTTGCACCACAGGCACAGAGCAAACACGCACCGCTGCTTCTGACACACTGTGTTGCACAAACACGTGACCAGCCCCTGCAAAGCAGCCCACTCATTAGGCTCTACTTCCGTGGCAAACATTCACAGTGTCTAGCACAGAGGTTAATTCTCTCTGCTGCTGGCTTCCTATTGCACCCAGGATGGTTATTTTACTCAGCACAAACAGACCACAGCACTGCCCTTGTTTAAAGCACTGACCTCAGGCACTCTCTGAGATCAGGTTGCAACCCGGAAAGCAGTCATTCCTTAAATTCCTGAAACGCCATTCTCACTCCCTCCTCCTGGCTTCTCCTTCACAGATGTCTGGGTCAGAAGGGACCTCACTAGATCATCGAGTCCGACCCCCTGCCCCGGGCAGGAAAGAGCGCTGGGGTCAGGTGACCCCAGCCAGGTGCACGTCCAGCCTCCTCTTACAGACCCCCAGGTAGGGGAGAGCCACCCTTGGGAGCCCAGTCCAGATTCTGGCAACCCTACCCATGAAGTTCTTCTGGATGTCCAACCTCAATCTGCTCTCCGTCAGTGCGTGGCCATTGTTCCTAGTTACTCCAGGGGGTGCCCTGGTAAATAAAGCATCTCCTATTCCTTGCTGCCCCCTTGATGGATTTGTAGACAGCCACCAGATCACCTCTCCGCCTTCTCATGCAGAGTCTGAAGAGATCCAGGCCCCTCAATCTCTCCTCATAGGGCCTTACCTGCTGGCCCCCAACCATACGAGTGACCTCCTCTTGACCGTCTCCATGTTGTCCACATCCCTCCTGAAGTGCAGCGCCCAAAACTGGACACAGTCCTCCAACTGTGGCCTGACCAGTACCGCATAGAGGGGGAGCATCACCTCCCTGGACCTGTTCGTGATGCACCTGCTAATGCATGATAAAGTGCGGTTAGCTTTACTGATCGCTTCATCACACAGATGACTCATGTTCATCTAGGAGTCAGCATTGACTCCAGGATCCCTTTCTGCTGCTGTGCTGCTGAGAAGGTCCTCCCTTATCCTACAGGTGTGTTGGTGAGTCCTTCTCCCCAGGTGCCGCACTTTGCACTTGTCTTTGTTGAGCTGCATCCTACTCTTTTTCTGCCCACTTCTCCAACCTGTCCAGATCTGCCTGGACTCAATCCCTTCCCACTAGCGTGTTAACTTTACCCCATAATTTGGTGTCATCCACGAATTTGGACAGGGTGCTCTCCATGCCCTCATCCAAGTTGCTGATGAAAACAGCAATCAATACCGACCTGTCCACCACCGCTGTCTGTGTGCAACCCTTAAGCCAATTTGCCACCCACCTGACCATGTAACCATCTACCTCACAGCCTCTCAGCTTATTTATGAAAATAGGATGAGATACCATATCGAAGGCCTTCCTAAAATCCAGGTAGATAACATCTACCTCAACTCCTGCATCTAAGCATTTTGAGACCTGGTTATAAAAAGAAACAAGGTTAGTCAGGCAGGATCTACCTGCTATGAGTCCGTGCTGGTTGCCCTTCAGCATTATTTTTCCTGCTGGGCTCCCACAAATGTGATCCTTGATAATTTCTTCAAAGGTTTTCCCAAGCATAGAGGTGAGAATAGCCAGCCTATAATTACCCAGATTCTCCATCCTCTCCTTCTTGAAAATAGGGATTACTTTGGCCCTTTTCCAGTCCTCTGGGACCTGACCTGAGCACCACAAGAGCTCAAACAGCCGTGCCAGTGGCTCTGCTATGACACCAGCCAGTTCCTTCAGCACCCTGGGACGAAGATCATCCAGGCCTGCTGACATTCAGCCCCTCCAAGTGTCCCTTTACTAGATTGGTGCTGACCATTGGTGAGCCGGTGTTCCTCCTGTGCCTGTCTATAATGCAATTGGGAGATTTGTCTTGCTCCATGTACAGGAATACAGAGGCAAAAAAACTCATGGAAGAGTTCAACCTTGTCCCTCCTATCTGTCACCAATTGCCCTAGACAGTCCTGTAAGGGTCCTGTGTTAGGCTGCACCTTCTTTTTGCTCCCTATGGACCTGAAGGACTTTTGGTTGTCTTTAATTTTGGTCACCAGCCTAACTTCCATTGCTGCTTTGGCCTTTCTGGCTGCCTCCCTGCAAGTGTGAGCCAGGGAGGTATACTCCTCCTTGGTAGCTACCCCTTGTTTCCACAGCCTGTATGCCTCCTCCTTTGCCCTTAGGCTTTCCTGGATTTCCCTTTTCAGCCAAGAGGGCTTCTTGGCCCCTTTGCCCCCTTTCCTTTGCAATGGGATTGTCTCCTTCTCCACCCGTAGGATCGCTCCCTTGAGGAACGACCATTTTGAAATGCAGGGACACTGAATGCACAGGATGCGGAGGCTGCTAGAGTGTGCTAAGTACCACGGTCCAGCCGACTCGATTAATTGCTTCTGCAATTAGCATGCATCCGAGCAGAGGTCCATCGTGTGCATAGGTGCCCACAGACAGCAGCTTGGAGAGCGCGGGTGTGAAACCACTGTCCCCCTCCAGGATGCTGGAGGGCTTCAGCAGTGCGAGCGTGTGCCCCTTGCACACACAGTGGCTCTCAGTCCCCAGCCCTGTGCCCCCCCGCCCCTTGCCTCGCTAGGGTCAATGCAGTGCCCAGGGGTGGGTCCATGCAGAGGTAAAGTCACACCCCGCTTTGATTCCTGCTTCACCCAAAGGTTAAAAGCAACAGAGGAGGGTCCAGAGAAGGGCCACCCGCATGATCCGGGGACAACAGGGCAGACCCTACAGTGAGAGACTGCGGGACCTGAACCTATTCAGCCTCCACAAGAGAAGGCTGAGGGGGGACCTGGTGACCGTCTATAAACTCACTAGGGGGGACCAGAAGGGTTTGGGGGAGACACTGTTTCCCCTAGCCCCCGCTGGCATAACAAGGAGTAATGGGCACAAGTTGATGGAGAGGAGGTACAGATTGGACATCCGAAAAAACTACTTCACAGTCAGGGCGGCTAGGAGCTGGAACCAACTTCCAAGGGAGGTGGTGCTGGCCCCTACCCTGGGGGTCTTTAAGAAGAGGCTGGATACCTACCTGGCTGGACTCATTTGAGTCCCGTTTTTGTTTTTAGGGTGAGTTTTTTTTGGGTTGTTCTCCCGCCCTGGCGGGGGGTCGGGCTAGAAGATCTATTAGGTCCCTTCCGACCCTGAAACTATGAAATAAACAACCTGGGAAGGGCACATCGACTCGGGCGGTGCCGACGGAGTCAACTGACTTCAGAGCTTGTTATCATTTCCCTGATTCCTGCTAATCTCTCTCTCCACGCCACCCTCTCTCCTTCTTCATGGTCTTGTTGTTTCACCAGTCAGCATTTCTTCGGCAATGTTGCTATCTGTTCACCAGGCCTGGAAACATCCCTCCTCTATTTCACAGCCTTGCCGTCTGTTTTTAGCTCTAGCGAAAAACCTTAACTCAGACGCAGTCATAGTAACTCAGGTGTAGACATGTCTGCCTCTGAGGTATTGGAGGAGTGCTCAAGAAGGCTGGATTTAGCTTTAGGAAAATGAATAACAGAAGTGTGTTTAACTATAATGACTACAGGACTAATGAGGCAAGAGCCCTTGGCTATTTTTTGCCTTTTTTGTGGGTTTTTAGAAAGAGAGACAGACAGGCAGACAGACTCTAGTATATTAATGCACAATCCAATAGTTATATTGGTTGTTGCTTTAATCTGGAATTGAATAATCCAGCACTTGCCCCCCCAGCATGTCAGTAAATCTTCTAGTTTCTCTTTAACTGGAGAAAACAGGTGTTGGGTTGCATGTGATGATGTGCTACATCCTCTGCACCCCACCTCCCTTTCCAAAATACTAGATCCACCCTTGGCGGTGCCTTTTCCCCCGGGAAGCTAGGCAAGGGCTGGAAGGTGCTGGCAGGTGCCCTGGGAAGCTAGAGCCGTGTCTGCAGAGAGGGAGCGCAGGCAGGACTCCCAGCGTGGGGGTCAAGGGGGTGCAGGCCCTCCGGAGCTGCAAGCCAAGCTGCCAGCGCTGCCCACGCATGGTGACGAGGGAGGGGATCCTTCAGCGATCAGCAGATCCCGGCGGTGGAGCAACGGGATAGAGAGCGGCCTCTTCCCCGCATGCAATGCATGATCGCTCTGTCCCCTGGGAGAGGAGCATGCAGGGCTGGGTCAACGGGCTTCAAGGCCTGGCAGGCAGACCACAAAAAGAGGCACGTCCGGCTGCCCAGCCCCACCACCAGCCCCGCAGTGAGTCAGGATGGGTCCCAAGCCTTGAAGGGAAACCTCAGCCGCCCCCTCTCCGCCCCGCCGGCTACTTCCTCGACTCTCTGCCAGCTGTTTGTGTCGAGACGCGGGGAGTCCAGAGTCCAACTGCAGCCGGGAAAGCAAGCTGCACACCGATCTCCGAAGTGGGGGGAGAGCTGCATGTGGGAGAAGCCAGGCACCGGCAGCGTTACGGGTACGTGTTCCCCGCAGCCCTGGGCAGAGATCGGGTCTGGGCTGGCTGTCCGCGTGCCAGCTGGGACGCTGAGCCGGAGAGGTCAGGGCAAGCTCATTCACCCTGCTCTCCAGGTGGGCTCTGTCCCCTGCCCGTTGCTGGTGCCCAAATTTGCCACTGTGGCATCTCCAGAGATGCCCCCCATGCCCCTGGACATAACAGCACCCCGGCTGTGGCCAGGAAGGGCCCATTTGCAGGGGCCCGCAATGCTTGGAAAATTCAGGCTTGTTTTTTTCCGGAGGAAGGTAACAGAAGCAGGCAAAGCAGCTCCCGCAGGGGCTCAGGGTCCCCCCACCACCCCGGTACCAGACATGCAGCTCAGTCGTCAGATCCCAGCCTGCCGGGAGCGTGCAGCTGTCCGGAGAAAGCCAGGCACCCCCTCCCGCCTCCCTTTCCCTGCAAGCAAAGCTCAGACCACCCTGAAATGGCTGGTTTCCTGCCTGAGCCCTCAGCCCTGCTAAGACGCTGGCTTGCAGAGGCTCTGTTAGGGGGTCAGGAAAGTCACGAGCTGCTCATTGCTGGTGTCCGGTCAGCCCCGGGGGCCTGCCTCTAATCGGACGCAAGATGTTTGCAATCTCTCTCGCTATTGCTTGGCTTTGCAGATTTGCATTCGCTAATTAAATTTTTAAAAACAATAATCGCTCCTCCACCTTCTGCAGATCCCAGAAAGCCCCAGCGAGGCTGTTTCCTCTGTTGCACTCGTCCACTTGCTGGCTCTGCCTCCGGCCCTTGCAGGTGGACGGGGAAATGAAGAGGGTGGCGCTGGCCGTGACGTTTCTCTGGGTGCTGAGCTGCTCGCAGATGCCTCAGGTAACTGGATTTACCCAGCACTTCCCTGTGTCTGTCCCATATCCCACCCTAGCCAAGCTGAGGGAAGCTCAAACCCAGTCCCCTGCTGTGACAGACAAGGGCATCTCACCCCCCCCTTGCACCCGCACCTCCTCCTATTTGCACTAAGTCCGTTAGTGGAAGCATTAGAGCCCAGATAAATGAGAGCCTCTGGTCGAGGGGGCGAGCGGGTGAGTTCGGCGCTCTGTGCCCCAGGGAAACCCTCCCCCTGCGACAGCCCCATTTCCCTTGGCCTCCGCGTCTTCAATCGTCTGCCACCTCCCCTGCTCCTGAGTCAGAGTCACAGGACTCCAGCTGCCCGGTCACTTTTTCCCATTTGCAAATAGAGTGACAGCATTTGCCATTCGCCAGTCCCCGGATTTCGCCCCTGCCTGGAGAGAGGTCTTGCTGCAGGGCCTGCCGTTTCGTGCACTGGTTCCTTCGGGGGCAGAGAGATTCGCAGGTCCCCGGGCTTGAATGCATTTGCTCCACTGCAGCTCTGGTCGTGTCCCCTTCCAGGGGTCCACTCCTGCTCCTCTGTCCCAGAGCCAGCTCCGTTAGCCCGTGGCAAGCTGTGCACTGCCATAATTGGGCTGCTACCAGGACCAGTGTAGTTTATTTAAAGGTTCGCCCCGGTCCCTCTCTTCCAGCCTCCGCTCTCTGCAACCGTGTGACACAGGAGACTGGGCAAGACGGACCCATGGTCTGAGCCAGTCCACAGCAGTTTTCATGCTCTTCGCTCACGTCCCTCCACCCTCGCTTGCACTCTTAGTGCCCGGCCGCGGGTCGAGGTCTGTGGGTTTCTGGACGTCTTGTTCCCGGCACAGAGTTTGCACGCAAGGTGACAGACACAGTCACAGCGGTTGAGGTGCCAAGGGAAAGGACGCCGGACTCTGCAGACAGCTGCCAGAGCAATAAATGGCACTAGCAGGTGCTGTGTGGGAACAGGCAAGCCCCATCCCACAAACACATGCCTGCGACCTCCTGAAACCAGAAGATTTCCAGCAAAGCACAGTCTTTAAAGTCATAGGCTTGCATAAGCTGGCTGGCTGGGTTCAAGCCAGTTTTGAACCCCAGTCTCTGTAGCAATGTCCCCGGCAAGAGGTTTCCCTACTCTGTTAATCCAGCCAAACTCATTAGCACTTGGGACGACATCCCTGCAAAGAGGTGGATGATTCTTTATTATTCAGAGTCGGTAATCCAACCCCCAATGCCTTTCTTAGAAGCACTTTGGTGACGAGCTGATTTTCCCAAGCCCTTTGAAACACCACGCTCTGGCTCAAATAGTCTTGGGAGCTGCTCTGTCTCCCGGCAGCCCGGCATCGGGTGAGAGACCCACGTTTTGAGCAAGTAGTTCACAACATCCTACAATCACAGAGCAGTCTTGCTGGCTGGACGTGCATCATGTTACACCACATCGAGGGTGCCATGGGGTCCCATGCAGCGTCGGCCCTGCTGGGTGGGCAAACATGAGTCGCAAGATAAACCCAGAGATTTCAAATAGGAGTCCAGAGGGGTAAAAACATTCGGACCCCTGGTCTGAAACACTTCGGGACTGAAACTTCCCCCACGACTACCAGGAACAGTGCCTGAAACATCAAAGTGGGGTGATGGCATGGCCAACGTCCTGCCACTGCACGGACAGGAAGTCGTTTGTTAAAATAGGCTCAAGACACTTGAAGCAGTGTTTAAAGTGCTTTGAAGTCCCCGTGCCAGCTCAAGTTGGATAGTGCCTTCAGGGAAAACAGCAAGCCTCCCATAGCAGATTCTTGTCAGTCCCTTCCCATTTCAGGATAGCTCTGGCTGACATGTGCCTTAAATGTACCCTCAGCTTCCCCCGCCTGCGGGGGTAGAGTTCAAGTTGCTGCCATGGATTTGAACTCTTTGGGCGCATCTACAAGTTCTTTTCAACGCACCTAAACTTAATGCACATTAGGCTAATGCGCATTAAGGCAATTTAGGCGCGTGTCTACACATGCACGCACTAAGGCTCATTAACGCAGTGCGCGAACCAACTTCAGACTCAAGTTAGTCCAACGTCAGTCAACATACACAGCGCTAATGTGCCTTAGCCCATTGACACGTGCATTAAGTCACTTCAGCTATTTGCACCTAAATTTGATCTCTGCTTTTGCAGAAATCAAATTTAGGCACGAATAGTCTATAATTGCCATTTTTAAGGCACATTAAGGGCGTGCACATGTAGACGTTTGTTGTTAATGCACTTTAAAAATGGCTAATGTGTCTTAAATCAGCATGTGTAGATGCACCCTTTATGTCCTGGTTTCCAGGGGGTCTAGATACAAGTGAGGTTTGCAGGGTGGGAAAGCAGGGGGGCTGTTGATCGGCCTTCACTTTGCACCAGGCAAAGCTCCAGTCAGTGAATATTAAACCATTCTTGCTTCTGAAGCCACTGTCTGGCTCCTTTGTGCTTCTGGCAGGTTGTGGCCACATCTGCTCTCCAAAGAGGGGGTGGGTGGGGTGGGTGAGGGACCAAGCACAGCTCTTCCCAAGGGAAGGAGGCCTCTCGTTTTCCTGGAGGTGAAGGCGATGCTGCGGTCAGCCAAAGCCAACGGCTGCTCTTGTGCCCCTCACAGGTGAGAAGCCAGAAGTCCCTGCAGATGGGGATGGCGCCCGACTCCTTCGATGACCAGTACATCGGGTGCACGGAGGAAATGGAGGCGGCTGCTCCGCGGCTGCTGCAGGAGGAAAGAGCCAGACATGGGCTGCTGGACGGGATGTGGACGAACCTGTCGGCCGTCTGGACTGAAAAGAAAAAAGGGCTGCATCTGCCTGCGGGGTTTCGGGACGTGCATGGCATCGCCCTCCTGGTCTACACGGACTCCGTCCAGCCGCTTTACCGGGATCTGAATACAGCAGTGCGAGAGGCGGGGGTGTCCCGAGACACCTACCTGCGCACCTTCCCCTTCAAGGCCCTGCACTATTACCTGAGCAGAGCCTTGCAGCTGCTGCGGGAGGACTGCGGGCGCACGTACCGCAACCAGCTCTACCGGGGGGTCCGCTCCATCCGCTTCAACCCACCTGGGGCAGGCCCGGTCCGGTTCGGACAGTTCACCTCCTCGTCCCTGGACGCCGCGGTCTCTCGGAGCTATGGCAACGCCACGTTCTTCATCCTGCACTCCTGCTTCGGGGCCCACATCGAGGCACTCTCCAGCTTCCCCTTCGAGAAAGAGGTGCTGATCCCCCCCGGCGAGGTGTTCGCCGTGTCCAACGTCACCCGGCAGGGAGACGGCAACGTCTTGGTGCTGCACAGCACCAACCGCACCTGCAGCCACTTCAACTGCGCCTACCTGGGCGGTGAGTGCCTGGCGGGCTGGGACCCGCGCCCGGGGTTGCCTCGGGGAGCGAGGAGCCGGGGACACTGGTGAGGGAGGAGGCAGCAATTGCAGAGAGCTTTTCAGCCCCGTCCAAACCATCCCCCAGGCAAACCCATTGTCCAACCTCTGAGCAAAACTACAGGCACCCCTGGCACAGCACCAGGCATCGCATCCCCACCCTGCCACAGGGATCCTGCTTCGGGCAGGGGGTTGAATTAGTCCCTTCCAGCCCCACTGCTCTAGGATCCTATGATCTCCCCTCCTTCCCCGCTGTAGTCAGGCTTGAGCCCCCAGCCCCCTGCACAGGATCAACAGAACTGGTGCAAACTGGGAGGTGATCCTGAAAGTTGTCCAGACCAAGGAGAGAGTAATGCATTAAGCCTTGCCCTGAGCAGGAGGCTCCCACCGGGACCTGGGTCTGGTTCATCTCATTTATGGACTGAGGGCGAAATTCAGCTCTGAGCAATGGGCCAACTCCAGGTCCCCTGCCCTGCCCCCATCAAGACGAGATCATTGTGCTCATCCATCCCTGCTCATCCTGAGGCCCCAAGGTTGAAGCTGGAGCCCTGGGGTTTGCACCAGCCACTTTGCAAAGGGAAGCAGGGACTACAGAAAGGAGCAGACTCTAATCCCATTAGCCATCAGGATGGCACTGGAGCAGCTGGGCACGATTGCATACCTGGGTTCAGACCAGGGCATGTGTTGCACCCTCCACTACCTGTAGTGCTTGTTCTGCAAATGCACCTCCTGGGCTGTACAGAGCAGCAGCAGCAGGGATGCGCATTTAATATACTACAAATGAAGCCGGTCATGCACCAGGTTTTGCCCTCGTGACAGCCAGGATAGCTGGAAACGTGCTCCGGCCAGTCATGCCCACCGTGTTCTGCACACGGCATGGGGCCGGGGGTGGAAAACAGTCACATGAGCGTGTGAAACGAGAATTCGTATCAGTGCTACTCCACTGATAGTGTCAGGTTTGAATTAAGGATCTGTGTGCTTGTTACGTGAAATTATTCCGCTTGCACCTTGTATTGCTAGCAATAAATCTTTATACTTTCACCCCTGGTATCTTTATTGGCTTTTGCATACCGGGCACGATCCCAGACTTGAGCTGGGGCTCAACAATAGCAGCTTTTGACTCTCTGAAGGGTGGTTGCAAAAAGGATGGGGCTAGACTCAGTGGAGGCAGATGGCAGGACAAGGAGCAATGGGCTCAAGGTGCAGCAAGGGAAGTTGAAGTTGGATATTAGGAAAAACTCTCTCACGAGGAGGGTGGTGAAGCACTGGAACAGGTTACCCAGAGAGGTGGTGCAGTCTCCATCCTTGGAGGTGTTTAAGACCTGGGTAGACAAAGCTTTGGCTGGGATGATGTAGTTGGAGCTGGTCCTGCTTTGAGCAGGGGGTTGGACTCGATGTGACCGCATGAGGTCCCTTCCAACCCTCATCCTCTATGATTATGTGACACTCCCATCCACATGGCCAGCGGTGCCCACGCCAGGCTCCAGGCAGCAAGGCTGTGACCCTTCCCAGCTTCATGCTTGCCTCGTGACACGCCGTCTGTATCAGGAAGCGTGCGTTGCATCCACGTGGTTTCACGCACAGCAGAAGTACACTCTCCCTTCTAGGACTGGACTCTCCCTTCTAGGACTGGCTCTTGTTTGGACAGGGCTGATCCTGCCTCAAGCAGGGGTTGCACTCGATGTGACGTCTGCAGCTCCCTGCTAGCCCCACTTCTCTAGGATCCTCCCCATGCACTGCGGGGACCTGACATCTCAACAGGCGCTCGGACACCTGGACATGCAGGGGGTGTCTGGGAAGACTTTCAGAAGAGCCTTAGGTGCCAGCAGCCAGACCCACACAGGGGATTTAGACACTTCATTTTTGAGGTCTCCAATGGGAGTTCAGAGCCTGATGACTTTGAGCACCCAGGGCTGGCTTGATCTTGAAGACAAGCCTGGCCCGGAGCTCAGAACAAACCAGCCAGGGCAAGGGAAGATCCCCGGGGCTGCCCCGGTCCCAGGGTGCACGGTCTAGGGCATGGAAAGGTCCCATGGGTAACCAACATCATCTTTCTTTGCCTTTCAGGAGAGAAGTCCCCATCCTGCACTGATCACTCAGGTAAGATGCTCCCCTCTCCCTCTGCTCCGGGATGTGGTGAGCACTAGTTCCTGCTCTCTTGCTTCACGCCTCATAGACAGCGAGGGTTGGAAGTGACCCCAAGAGGTCACATCTAGTGCAACCCCCTGCTTCAAGCAGGACCAGCCCCAACTCCATCATCCCAATCCTAAATGAAGAGCCCTGGGCATTGCCAGTGTCCCCTGGTCTAGCCACCGCTCCATATGGCCGAGCATCGGGGTTGCCCATCTCTGTACCCTTTCCAATGCCGTTGCTTCCTGGGTGCAACTTGGGGGCTGGAGCTCAGGGCAAGGTGTTTGGGCCTGGTAGTGGGTTTAGGCAGCACGCGTTCATCCAGGTGACAAGGGGCTCACGTGTTTCCCTTCCTTTGGGACAGGAAGCTGCTGCCGGCTGTGCGGCGAGATGCGTCCGTGGCGGCTGGGGGGCCTCGTCGTCCTGATCCACGTGGGCACCTGGACATTGACCACCCACTCCGGGCTCCTCTGGGCTTTGTAAAATAGTCTCTCTGCTTTTCCAATAAAGGGCGGCACGATGGCTGGCTCGCCCTGGGGCTCAGCTGGTCTCTCTCTGCCAGGACCAGGAGCTGAGAGCTTGCAGATCTCCTTTGCTGTGCAGAGGGGGCAGCGGGCAGGAGGTGCCACCCACACCCCCATGGAGCCGTGGGCATGGAGTCCAGCTGTCACCCACTTCACGCCAGCACGGGCCCAGCTGCAGGCAGATGTGCTGCACAGCTGGGCAGGGTGAGGCTGGGGTGCACCAGGCCTCCGGCTGGATTAACACCCAAGGAGCTGGGACGAGATGGACTGGATGGCAAAGGTGGTGCCAGAAGCAATGTTTCGTCCTTTGGATGTGCTAAATTCACCCCAAAACAGCATTTTGGAGGGACCAAAGTTGCCCGTGTGATCGGGTGGTGCTCAGCACCGAATTCGGGTGAGAGGGGTGGGAGCATGGGACAGGGAAGCATTGCCCAGGCTACAGTCAAGTCCCCTGAGTTTGCAGACAACAACCTGACCTAGAAGTCCCCTCCAGCCCCCCACAGCTACACAGCCCCGGGCAGATCCCAGCCAGAGCACCCCGCAGGTGGGGAGGGTGCACCCACAGCACCAGGCATCATCCCACCCTGCCACAGGGAAAGCAGAGGGACACGGCCACCAACGTCCTGCTGCTATGAAGTAGATGGTAGAGATCCCAGGCAGAGGCTGTGCTCCCACTGCAGAGGAAGGCAACCCCCCGACCACAGTCCATACCAACATGACCAGGGGGGAAAACCCCCTCCTGACCCCAAATGCAGGATCAGTCTGACCCTAAGCAGAGGGGCAAGACCCTCTAACCAGGACCCTGTGGGGTTGATCCCAGCACAAGCATTGACACAGCCCAGTCCCCATCCCCAGCTGGACTGCAGCCAGCACCCAGCGTCTCTGAAGGAGGCTTACAAACCCCCTGACACGTGGAGCAGAAAGGACAGGAGCAACCAGCAAAGGCCTAAAGCCTGGGAAATCTCCATAGTAGCACTGCATCGCAGGCATCGCTGCACCTAGATCATCCCAGACCTGTGGCTCTCCTTGAACCCCTCCAGCAATGGAGACCTTGCCCCTTCCCTGGGCATCTATTCCACGGCCACCTTGCTCTGACAGTGAAGAAAGTTTTCCTGAGATCCAACTTAAACTTGCTTTGCTGCAACTTCAAGCCACCGTCACAAAGTCTGGGAGCCAGGGGCCGTCCCTGGTTGTGGGGATGCGCAGCCCCCATTGCAGCAGGGCCCCGACTTTGCAGGTGACTGCCGGACACCACTGGGACGTGGCTGTCACGTCTGGCGACGGGGTGGGCAGGCAATCCTGTTATGGATTGCATGGGGCCGCGAGCCATTGCTGGGTGGGAAACACACCTGGTTGTGCCCCTTCCCATCTCCCATGGGAGGCACCAAGAGAAGAGACACGCTCGGTGCCCGGGGTGCATGCAGTTGAAAGAGGCTTTCCTGACATCCCCCATGGAGAGGGCGATGTGGTGCAACACATTTGCCAGAGCCCCTGCCAAAGCCAGGGTATAAATAGGCTGGAGGGAGGGGAAGTGCTCTGGCTCAGGGTGTCTAAAGCTATAAAAAGCCAAGCCGGACGCCTCTGCGCTGGCATGTCAGCTGTGCCCCTGCACCGAGCGCAGCCGCCGGAGCCGACCCACCGCAGAAGCCACGGTCGCTGCCCCGAACCCCAACCCCGGCTGGGGAACAAGGTAAAAACCCTCGTCAGACCCCATTCCTCTCAGATCTACCTGGTCTACCTGAAAGGCCCCCAGCCTGGTTAACGGGATGTGGGGGCAGGGGCTGCTGAAGCTGCATCTGGGGTTTATCAGGCCTCTGGCTAACGATGTTGTACTGAGAGTTTCCCAGGCCGCGGCAAGACAGACAACAGCATCTGGAGCCTCCAAACCGCCGACCTGTTGCCTCCAGGGATGTGCGTGGGGTGGGGGTTGTTTATTTGGAGGATGCAACCTGATAAGGGTTTTTGCAGGTCTCTCCATGCCAGGAGCCCCGAGAGCAGCTGCTTCCCCTCCCTGCCAGGGTTTGTGACAAGCTGATGTGGGGTGTTGCTATAACACAGGCTCCTGGCAGGCTGGGATGTGGGCAGGCTCATGCAAGGAGCCGACAACCCCGTTTGGCTGTTCATGAAGGAGTCTAGCCTGCGAGGACCTGGAGTCCATCGAAGCCTTGAACACCCTCCTAAAATGGGCTCTCGGCCTTCAGGGGCTGGCTGGGGAATTGCACACAAGTGCAGTGGGGTGCAGCAATGCCACCGCTATTGCCTGTCGGCTCTTACTAAAACTCGTGGCACTTGGTGCTTCCAGGAGCAGCGCTGGGGAGTTGCCAGCTCTGGGGGTCATGGCATCCCTGCAGCGTGGGTTGGCATCTGAGCTACAGCTCCGGCAGGCACAGAGAGGCTTCAGGGGAGCTGGGCTTTGAAGACGGGTGTCCTGGCAGCCAGTCACATGCCTGGGCCGTGAGCTCGGCCTACAGATCCCCCATCAACCTGGGGCCATGGCATGTGGACGGATGGGACGCTTGTACTGGGTGTGCAACCCTTCTGTGCAGCCTGAAGGGCAGGAAAAAGGGGGAGAGACCCAGGAGGAAACCACTTGGCCATCAAAACCATTCACTTTGCTATCAACCCGCCAGACCCCGAGGCCGGCCCCAAGGTGGGGATAGCTGGGGTGGTGCCCCCAGGGCGCTGGCACCAGACCCCAAAGAGGGTGGAGCGTGACATGCGACGGGCTGCTCCTGGAAACTTCCCACCACCACAGACAGCCCCAGCCGGAGCGGATATCCCCGCTCCCACGTCACCTCCACCGGCTGATGGCAATGCCCGTGCCCCAGTTATACCAGCCCACTGCCCTGGCTAATGCAGCAGAGAACTGGGACGCCCCAGGAGGCTGGAGGGGTCCACGGGTCCCCTTCATGCTTGGCCCTGCTAAGCCCAGCTCTCCCGGCATGACTGCTTTTTTCCTCCTGGAAGACGTGGGTAAGTGACTCCGCTCTTGCCTAGGTCGACTGCCGGTTCTCCAGGGCAGGCACCATCCCTTGCTTTAGAGACATACAGCGCCGGGCGCAAGGGGAACTGGAGCCTACAGGTACAGGGCTCCCCAGGGTTTCAGTGGTGGGTCGTGGCTTGTTACTCACCAGTCACCGGCTGATCTCTCCAGGCAGACGCTGTTTTTTCAGATGCACACGGTGAAGATGGATGTCTGCAGGCCGGTCTTTATCCTGCTGCTGGCTGGGATCCTGGCAGACCGCCCTCAGGTACCGGTGCTGGGCTCTGAACCCAGTCCCGTCACCAACAGAAGGAGCATCAACAGCAGTTCTTTGCCCTAAAATGCCTTTGGGCTTTGCCCAGCCCCACTAGAAACGAGCAGTAGCTAAAGAGCGAATGGTGCCGTCATTAGGTTTCAGGGTCAACACTCAATGCATCCCCGCCGGCTATTGACTCGGGCTGGCTGTGCACGGAGGTTAAAACCCCGAGGCTGCAACAGCTGCTCATCTGGGACTGTTGGTGCTGCCTGCGGTTTGTGATGTTAATTAAACTTGCTTTGGCGCCCGCGTGGCTGAGATGGCAGGAAAACCGGTGCCACGTCTCGTTCTGAGGCCGGCTCCTGTCGGCTCCGGCATCATTGCAGAGGAGCCAGAGGGTCCCTCGAGGTAGGCCTCCCACCTGCCTGCGAGGCATTTATGGGCCCTTTGCCCTTGTTCCCAGCCTCTCCGTGCACGGGGCAGAGCAGCTATCCCAGAGCCCAGGTGGGGAGCTGAGGCACATATGGGCAAGGGAACTCCTATGGAGGTAATGCTTCTCCAAGGCTGTGCACCAGGCTGGTGCTCCACAGAGCCAGCCTCTGACCTGCCCCTCCTGCAGGAAACACCCGCAACTTGCCCATGGGGCTCCACTATGGGCTTTCCTACACAGGTGTGCACGTGTGCGCGCACACACAATATAGAGGTAAACATTATACACAAACATACAGATAGATATGTAAGCCTAAAATATGTTTGCATAAGCACACACACCCAAATAGATATAGTGTGATAGTGTGTCCATACACACACGATGCATGCACATGCTATATAGACATGCAATACACATGCACACATGCCCATATGTTTATTTTAGACTTACGTGTGTGTGCATGTATGTATATGCACACACGCACATACATATATGGGGTATTTTGGACAGGTTGGACTGGATGCGAGCTCCGGCGGTCCCTTCCAGCCCTAGGACTCTATAATTTTACTTTTATATGTATAGTGTGTGCGCGCACATGCATGCCTACACATGTTGCTGCAGCTTGTCACATCACCACATCCTCGCCCTGCTCTGACTGCACCCTGCTCCCACGGAGGAACGTCCTGTGCAGAGCCCCCGGGCCGTGCGAGCAGCCTGGGGCGGGAAGGCACGCTCTCCCAAGCTCCCTGGTTGACGTGATGTTGTGATTTGGGAACTCACCTCCAAGCCCTTGGGCTTGCTCAGCAGCCGCTTCTGCTTCCGCATTCCTGACTTCCTTCCCTTTTTCGTCTGCCTGCGGCTAATATGAAACCAGCAGCCCTCCCACGTCTTGCCCTTGCATTCACCCCTGTTGCAATTAATCCAGGTGTCTGACGCCTTTGCAAAAGACGGGCTTGGATCGCCACACGTGCATCCGCCCTACCAAATCCTCATACCTGCATTGTGCTGACTGCTCAAGGAGATGTGCCCGCAGCTCCCCTCACTGCATCCTCCCCTTGCCCTCAGGTCCTGGCCTTCCCCCTCCACAGGAGAGACCTCTTCCCCATCAAGGACGTGAGGCTGGACATGGCACCCAGCGCCTTCGATGACCAGTACAAGGGCTGCGTTGCCATGATGGAGGCCGAGCTCGGGGCGCTGAACAGCTCGGAGTTCTCCAGCAACCGGGTCTACGCCGAGGCCTGGACGGAGGCTGCCGCTAAGTGGAAGGAGAAGCAGGCGGAGACCCCGGTGCCTCCGGACCTCAAGGCAGAGCATGCCATTGCCATCATGGCCTACACCATGCAGGGACCCCTCCACAGGGACTTCAACGCGGCTGTGAGGGAGGCAGGCCGCACGCGGGAAAACTACCTGGGCAGCTTCAACTTCAAAACCTTGCATTTCCTTCTCACACGGGGTCTGCAAGCACTGGGGGACACGCAGCACCCCCGGTGCCGCAAGGTGTACCGGGGCGTGAAGGGGGTGCGGTTCCTGTCCGAGCGGCGCCAGACCGTGCGGTTCGGCCACTTCACATCGTCGTCCCTAAGGAACACAAGCGCCCTGCAGTTTGGGCAGGACACCTTCTTCTGCATCCAGACCTGCCACGGCGCCGGCATCAGGAACTTCTCCATATTCCCCAGCGAGGATGAGGTGCTCATCCCGCCCTTCGAGACCTTCACGGTCAAGAACTTCACCCGGGCCGGGCACAGGACCCTGATCGAGCTGGGCTCCCTCGACAAGTCCAGCTCCTACAACTGCGAGTTCGTCAAAGGTAACGGCCCGTCACAGCACAGCTCACAGGTGGCACAGACCTGGGAGCTGGCCTGGGACAGGGACCCCTACCCAAATCCCTCTGCATTTGGGAACAGAGCTGCGGTTCCCTGGGGCACGTCATAGGTTTGTCTTGCCTAGTCTATTATGTCACACCATGAACCTAACCCTAAACCTAACACTAGCCCTACCCTTAACCTAAACTTAACCCTAACCCTAACCTTAACCCAAACACAAGCCTTACGGCTAAACCTAGCCTTAAACCTAATCCTAAAAATTACTCTAACCCTAAACCTAACCCTAGCCTTAACACTAGCCATATCCCTAACTCTAAGCCTAACCCGAACACTAACCCTGACCTTAACACTAACCATAGCCATATCCCTAACCCTAATCCTAACCCTAACCCTAGCTATATCCCTTACCCCAACTCTAACCATAACACTAACCCTGGCCTTAACCCGAACCTTAGCCATATCCCTAACACTAACCCTAACCATAAAACTAAACCTGGACTTAACACTAAACCTAGCTATATCCCTTACCCTAATTATAACCATAACACTAACCCTGGCCTTAACCCTAACCCTAACCATAAAACTAACCCTGGCCTTAAACCTAACCCAAGCTATATCCCTTACCCTAATTCTAACGATAACACTAACCCTGGCCTTAACCCTAACGCTAGCCATATCCCTAACCCTAACCCTAACACTAACCCTGGCCTTAACCCTAACCCTAGCTATATCCCTTACCCTAATTCTAACCCTAACACTAACCCTGGCCTTAACCCTAGCCATAACCCTAACCCCTAACTCTGCATCACACAGGGGTAAAAAGCGGAGGCTAGAAGCAAGACTGATGGGTCTGATCAGGGTTTTCTCCCCTGTTCCTCTCTCCTTTGCAGCCTCCTTAGCAAGGGCCAGGGAGCTTGGATGCAGAGGCCGTGCCCCTCACTGCCACACGCAATAGCTCCTGATGCCCCTTTCCTCCAAGAGCGTGTCCAGTCCCTCGGTGAATCTGCTTAAGCGGCCAGCTTTTGCAACACCTGGTGGCAATGAGTTGCACGTTTTAATTAAACGCTGCGTGCAGAAGAGCTTCCCGCTGTTCGTTTTAAACTGGTGGCCTCCTAGTTTCATTTGGTGACCCCTTGTTCTTGTCTGGTGAGAGAACGTCAATCATAAATCCCGGCTGACTTCCTCTTCCCCGTTTAATGTTGTGCAAACCCTTCTCTTGCTCCCACTCGAGCATCTCTTTTCTAAACTGATCAGACCTGGCCTCATTAGTCTCTCTCTTCCTAGGAAAGCCCCTCCGTACCTCTCATTGTCCTTGCTGCCCTTCTCTGCACCTTCCCTAGCTCTGCTATCTCCTTTTGGAGGCCTGGGTGCAGCATTCAAGGCATTGATGCACCATGGGTTTTTAAAGGGGGCATCACGATACTGCTCATTGTGGTCACAGTTCCCTTCTTAGCAATCCTCAGTGATATGAAAGGAGCTGTTTTGTATCGTGGGGGTTCAGAGATGACCCGAAATAGGACCCTCATGCCTACCTCAGGGCCAAATGGCTGGGGGGTGGCAGCTCCGCTCGTGAAGGAGCCTGCCCAGAGGAGCTTAGCTACCCCCTCAGCTTTGCAATGTGGCCAAAAACAATTCAAAGCCGCTGCCTGGTTGCTCCGTGCCAAACAGAGGGGCTGGATGGGGGCATGGAAAAGGAGCCTAGGACAGCCAGCTGGAAACCTCCCTTGCCCCAAGCCAGTGATCGAAGGAGGGAAGCTGCCTGTTTCTTTGCCAGGCACGGTGGGGGTGCCACGGTCCCAGCCAGGATGGGCAGGGAGGCTGCAAGGGGACGGTGGTGGTGGCTGCAGAGCTGAGTGCGAGTCCTGCTGCCTTGCTGGCTCCCTGGGTCTGTCTGAGAAGCCCCCAGCACTGGGGGCACCCGGATCTGGCCTGCAGCTTTGAGCAGGGTAGAAATCACCTGCAGGCCTTACCCCAAAGGGCTGGGGAGAGAAAAGAGGGCTGCTGGCTGATGCTTAACTGCTGTGGGTTTCTTTGGCAGAGAAAAGATGCAAGACCCAGAGATGCACGTTCAGCTCAGGTAAGGAATAAGTGGCACCGTGAGCCCACCAGCGATCCGCGTGGTACAAGGCTGATGTCCCTGCTGATCCTGGCCCTCACCATCCCCTCTGTCTTTGCAGCAGCAGGGGCGAGCAGTGCATCCTGGAGCCTGTTCCTCCTCTGGAGCTTCCTCGTGGCAGCCAGCACCCAGGTCGCTCTGCCGTCTTAACCAGCACCCGCTTGCGAGGACGGCTGACACAACGCTGGCGATGAGGCTGCGAACGTGCAGGGCAAAACTGCTACCCCCAAAACTGCTAGCACCTGGCATGGAGGCAGCTCCAGGGCAGTGGGAGACTCCCACATGGAGCTGGACCCCAGGGCCGGGTGCAACGTACCCCATGTAGATTTGTGCATGGCGCAGGACACCAGCGCTGCTCCAGCTTCATGCCCACCTGGGGGCCTGGGCTACGCCTCAACTGGAAAGAGCTGAGACCCCCAGCATTGGCTGAGCAGCGCAACAGGCTGGCAGGAAAGCCAGTTTTCTCCCCCATTTCTGCGTGGTGCATTGCATACAGGCCTCCACTACGAGCTCCCTGGCTGCGATATCCCCCTCCCCTCCCACGTCCAGCATCCATGATGGGACGGTTTCCTAGCCAGGCTTTCACACATGCTGCCTTGGACACACGTCGACTCTGAAATGAGCTCTCTCAGCTGGTAAAGCCGTGACCAGTGACACATGGGAGTCTCACTGCACCCCTAGGCAGACCAGATCTGTGGGTAAATCCAATCTCTTTTACTAGACTAACTAAAAAAAAAAATAACTAAGAGAGAGTGGATTTACCCAAAGATCCTGGTCTGCCTATGCTCTTAGGCCAACGCGGCTACAACCTATATGACTAGTCCCTATGCTCACATCAGCCTTAGAGGTGCCGGTGAGCCTGGGGTGAGTGGGTGATGGAGCAGGGGGTGTTCCCAAGCTGGTGCGGTGCATGGGGTGGTTCGCACAGGGGTGGTCCTGCCCTAAGCAGGGGTTTGGCCCTGCCAGCCCTGTTCGTCCGTGACTCAAAGGCAGCGTGCTTCCCCACCTCTGCGGCCTCAAGGCCCCCATTCAGGAGCTGCCAGTGCTGAGCTTTCACTCCTTTTTCTGCCTACAAAAGAATAATAAAATAAGACGAGCAATTCTGCTATTGCAAAGAGCCCAGCAAGCTCAGCGCAGGGCAGGAGGAATCGCACCCTCTGAAAGCTCCGGGTTCATCTGGGCAGGTTGCTCATCTGCAGACATGCTTGTGTTGCATGGTATCCCACAGCACCCTTGAAAGGATCGTGTGGCCTCCTAGAGTGCCGTGTAACCCCGGTTGAGGACCACTTCATGACCTGGAGGACAGTGGCCTTCCCGCCCCAGCATGGGCTTCACAAGGGGGTGGTTTGGAGCTGCCTGCCTCTGCCCCTTGTGATGCAGTAATAAGCCTGGGGGTGGGAGGACGGTCTCTGTGGCTGGTTCAGTGGGACTAGGGGCGATCGGCCAAGCTCTCCCCTTTCTAGCATCCTTAAGGGGCAACACCAGAGCAGAGTTGGTTTTTGCAGCCAGCACAGGACAGAGGCCAAGGGTGCAGAGGGGTGTCTGGGTGGGCCGTCTCCCCCAGAAACACAGCACCAGCATGCTCAGGACACAGCCTGGGTCCACTCTGCTCCCTGCAAGGCAGGAGTGAATGTGCCTCCATGTAGTTGTGGTATCTCCTGGGGGGGAACTTATCATGAAGCCCAAAGCCTCGCTCCATCCCTGACCCGGGGTCCCGTCCGTGCCAGGAGCTCTGCGCTCACCTGAACGCGGGCCAGGCATCGACCACGTGCCCTAGCAGGCCCACAGCACCATGCACCAGGGCCTGGTGGGGAAGGACAACGGGATGCAAACACAGGCAGGCGGATGTGCCCCAGGCACAGCTCACTACCCATAACACACCTGAGTCCACTCCAGCAAGGCTTGTGTCCTGCAAAGTTGAGCCAGCAACTGGGGATTTTATCAAAGCATCAGCTTTGTCCATGCTGGTGGGGAGAGGAACGGGCAGAGGGAAGGTGGGACACAAAGGCTTGGGATAAGAAAGGTGCTGGGGGCAGGGGATGACTCTCGGCACCATAGGAGCTGATGCCTGGCACACGTGGGACTAGTAGTTGTGGCACGCAGCCTGGGCATGGGGCAGCAAACATGTCTCCTGGAAGGTCTCCTGGCCTAGCACAGTGAGGCCAGGCCTGGGTAATCCCTGGCTTGCAGGTCCAGGCTGCTGGACCACAGCAAGAGCTGCATGGTTGCTCCAGATCGCTGCATGCTCCAGGTGCAAAGCGAGATATGCTGCAGCCAGACGGAGAGGTCCTGGCCGATGGGGAGAGGGTGCTGGCTCTGCAGATACATCATGAGATGCAGGGAAGTCCCCCATGGCTTCAGGTGCAAGACCCCTGCCAGCCTCCTGCCCACCCAGCACGGCAGGGTTAAGAGCTATCTGATGGGAGGACTCTGGTCCCTCTTGATGGAGGCACAAGAGGGAAGAAAGCTCAGCTCCTTGCCCCACAGCCAGGCTATGGGGGGCCTGGACACACAACGCACTTACCCCAGGGTAACCGATCTTTGTGCCTGCTTGAGACAGGAGCAGATGCCTGATGTGAAGCCATGAGTCGCTCGCATGCAGCGTCGGCTTACCCAGGAGAAAGGAGGAGGGAGACTGCCCTAGGGTAGATGGCGCGTGTCTGCAGCTTGCCCAGGGTAACTGTGCGCTCGAGGCAAATGGGGCATTGTGTAATGGTAAGACGGTACCACGGCACCTGCATGCACTTACCCCGGGAGAGCTGCGGCCTGTCCACTCTGGATGCAAGGGCCATAGAGACCGAACAGGCATAAGCAACACCCGTGCAAATGCACCTGGGCCCTTGCTCGCGGAGATGGCAAACAACACCCTGGGAATGGGGGCACTGAGGAAGATGCAGCACTTCCCATTCAGTCTCTAAACACTTCCTGAGCCTGGAAGCATTTGCAAGATGCTTACTTGTTTCAGGTTGCAAACCCCCATGGGGGCCTGCATGGAGCTTCCAGGGGATTTATTTTGATGCCTTACTTCCCAGTAGCTGCCCCAGGTGCAGGACAACACTGTGGGATCTCAGGCTCAGCCCTGGTACCCAAGCCAGAGCTAGGCGCTCCCCATCCAGAGGGGAATGGGGGTACCTGCGAGCCGGTACATGGTTTTGCCCTCAGGGGCTTCTGCACACACCTGGGACTTGGCCTCGCCTTGCACAGCATCTGGGGACAGGACCTGCTGCTCGCAATCAGTCTACAGTCCTACCAAGGATCAGTCTCCACCTGGCAAAAGGAGCGCAAGGTTTGCAAGGGGGTGGGCTGACAAGGCAGGGCAGCAGTCCTAGGTGCTGCAGGGGCCCTTCAGGCAGCTTTCGCCATGATGAGCACGCTCATGAAGAAGACCATGAGGAAGAAGACCCACATGAAGAAGCGGTCCATCACCTTCGCCACTTTTTTCCACTCCCCAGCCCGCCGCTGAGAGGCCTTCTGGTCCCGAAAGCAGTTGGCAATGTACTCCACGTTGCGCAGCAAGCTGTCCTGGTGGCACAGACACCGCGGCATGGGCCCCTCCGCCCTGCCACCCTTCTCCAAGTTCACGTACTTGCCCGTCTCCTGCCAGCCCGAGGGGTCGCCGGGCTCGGACGGCAGCGCCCTGTCCTGGCCATTCCCCACCTGCACCCTGGGCAGGGCGTCCGGCTCCCGCGAGGGGCTCTTGCAGCTCTCGCCCACCTCGTAGACGAAGAAAGCACGGGCCATGTAGTGCAGGATGAGCTTCCGAGCCCAGTGGGGCACGGGCCGGGCCCCTGGGCCGCAGTGGTGGATGTTCATGATGAAGATGGTCAGCGCGGTGGAGGCAGTGATCATGGTCATGGTGGCGATGTAATACTTCCCTGCGGGGAGAGAAGGGGAGGTCATGGGGACAGACAGAGCCTTGCAGGGCAGGGAAGGGATCCCCCCGCTCCAGCCATCTGCCCTTTGGCCCTGGAGAGATGGGAACAATTCAACCGGAGTGAAAGGCAGCCACCCCTTGGGGAGACTGGACCAGTGCTCCCATCGCAAGCTCTCTCAGTGGCACAACCAGGGTCCAAGCCTGGGGCCTGACCCTTTTGCATGGGACCAGAGCCAATTCAGCTGCAGGGGGCTTGGAAATCTTGCAGCTTTGATTGCTACCAGTCACTCGCTGCTAAATGTCTGGACCCCTGTGGTGTGGACACCCAGGAGCTGGACTATACGGCTCCAGGGGTTGAGCTCCCCTAATCTAGAGCATCCTGGCGAGATTGGATTTGCTCACAGCAAGGGTTCAGCCCTCAAGCTTGCTTTGGGCAACCAGAGCAGAAGAGTCACGGGTGCACGAGCCTTTGTACGCAGTAAATTCAGCCCGACTTGGCCTGAGCTGTGCTGATGTTCATGAACGCTGCATTCAAAATAAGCCCCAGAAAACACCAGGCTGGAAAAAGTGGACTGTCAGTAAATGATGCTTTAAAGGCTCATCGGAAAGTCAGGCTGGAAAGGACTTTGCAAGGTCACATCTAGTCCAGCCTCTGCTCAGGGCAAGGTCATTGCTGACTAAACCATCCCAGACACGTGTCTGTCCAACCCGCTCTTGAAACTTTCCAGGGATGGAGACTCCACCATCTCTCTACGGGCCTGTTCCAGTGCTTCAACCACCCTCAGAGCCAGCAAGCTCCTCCTCATCTCCAACCTCCGTTTCCCCTGCTCCTAGCCCTGTCCCTGCGGCCACAGAGAAAAGCCCATCTCCAGCCTCCCTCTCATCACCCTTTGGGGATTTGAAGACTGTGCTCCAATCCCCCCAAGCCGATATCTTTCTCTGATAACAGGTTGTCTACGGCAGGGGTGCTTGGCCCCCAGCCCACGTGCCAAATCTGACCGTTGGAGCCACATTGCCCAGCCCACGGTGCTCCCCACGGCTCCAGAAAGCTGGTGGTAAGGGAGCAGAGGCAGCGTTAATAGCCGTTCCCGTGCTGTCACATTTCTGGACCCGTGGTGAGCCCCGTGGGTTGGATACCACGGTCCTGAATGCTAGATAGTAGAGGTGCAAGCCTCCGGACACTTGATACGCTGCTGCCTGGAAAGTTATAACTTCATCCAAAAGAGACGGGGATCCGTGCAAGGATACTCCGAGAAACAAGGGGCTGGCTGTAGGGGACAGGGCAGCAGGATGTCCTGGAGGAGTTATCAGGGGGAGGGGGGGAGGGAGGGTTCTTGCAGGGCAACACTCAAGCACTGGTCTTGGGACCAGCCTCATTTAAAAATAAGAGAGGGATGGGGGAACAGGCTGCTGAAATCCACTGACAAGAGTGGAGAGGCTCCAACCATCATAGAAAATGAGGGTTGAAGGAAGCTCAGGAGGTCACATCTAGTCCAACCCCCTGCTCCAAGCAGGACCAGCCCCAACTAGATCATCCCAGACAAGGCTTTGTGTAGCCGGGTCTTCAACACCTCCAAGGATGGAGACCCCAGCACCTCTCAGGGGAGCCTGTTCCAGTGCCTCACCACCCTCCTCCTGAGAAAGTTTTTCTTAATATCTAACCTCAACTTCCCTTGCTGCAGCTTGAGCCCATTGCTCCTTGTCCTGTCGCCTGCCCCCACTGAGAACAGTCCAGCTCCATCCTCTTTGCAACCCCCTGCAGGGAGGTGAAGGCTGCTATCAAATCCCCCCTCGGTCTTCTCTTCTGCAGATTGAATCAGCCCATTTCCCTCAGTCTCTCCTCACCAGACCTGTCCCCCAGACCCACAACCATTTTCGTTGCCCTCGACTGGACTCTCTCCAATGTGTCCACATGTTTTCTGTAGTGGGGGCCCAAAACAAGATCATGCACCAGGAGACCAGCAGCAAAAGTTCCTGCCAAGTTGGAGGAAAAGAAAGACCCGGGAGCCCGAGTCCATCCCCAAGGGCAACACGTCACCGTGCAAGCAGTCATGGATGGGACAAATGCAACTTGAGGCCACATGTTCCCAGCTGAGACAGGGCAGGACAGTATGTATGCCATCGTGCCCGGCAGCGAGAAGATTCCCGTGCCCTTCTGCTCACCTGCACTGAAGAAAGATGAG